CATTACGGTGCGCATTTGGAATAATAATCTGTTTTGCTTTCAGCTGATTACCATCATCTAATAGGATAGTTGGCAGGCGTCTGAACGCTTTTACAAAAATGCATTTGAAATGATGAATTATCCGTGGCAGGGTTGGGGACGGCGAGAGTGCTGTGTGCGTGTGTGGCAGTGGCGGCTGTAACTGCCTGGGTTCCAAAATGTCCGTCGCCTCCGGGCCCGAGCAGCGTGAGTTCGAACCCCAAATCTGTGACCTCGCCCTGCCCTTGACGATGTTGAGCGAGCGTGGCGCTAGGAAGGGCGTGAGCCGCACGCAGATTGGACGTGAAACTGGCGTGTGTGGAGAGGGTGTTAACGTTTGTGACACGCACCCCAAAAGAGACACACTGGCCCTCCGCCTCACCGTCAGCATGATCGTCGTCAGCCACAATCAATCCGCTGCCGAGGGTCTCCCCAAGCTGCCTGTCATCTCTCACGGCCCTACAATTTAATAATCCACTGAACAGCTTCACACGAGCCAGTCTCCATCACCTCAATCTGAGCTCGAAATCTCCTTTTCAGAAGTGACTTGGCTACAAACGATAACTCAATGAAGTGGCTTCTCTGGAAATTCATTAAAAAGCTAAATAATCTAAACGCATGTTCATTATAAATGTAGAGGGAGGACCCGGAAAAAAAATCTACGTCACCAAATATACAACAGGCGTCAGGGTCAGGATCAAACCCACAATCTCCTCTATACCAGGCGAGGTAGTTATCTCGCCACCGTAACGCCCCCACGGTCAGCGTCCCCTCGGGTGCCTTCCTCTCCTTGGGCTGCCACTCAGTCCTGAGTCTCGACCACCGGTCATCGTCGCCTTCTTCGCCACACGTCCTGTCCAAGCCTTCTGGCAACGCGTCCTGTCCCAAGCCCCGCTTAACTTTCCTTCACAGCCAGCGTTCAGTACTCAAGTACTTAACCTGTTCTCAAATACACCATACACCCGCTTCTCTTTCTGTCTCTCAATGTAATTCTAAGCATGAAATCCCCTTTGTCCTACCCCGCAACCACCTTTGTCAAAATGACCAATTTTGACCTGAATAGTAATTTTAACGCTCTTGATGCATTGAATAATTTCTTTGTCGTAGGTTATCGCCATGGTATAAAGGGGGGGGATAACAAAACGTGCTCCATTAATTTTGTCATGAATGGTGCGCCCTGGAGCAATTATCCTTGGCCGGCCAAGAGGAGGCTAGCTGTGTAGAGGCAGCTTAAAACTGACCACCTTTGTCCAAAACAATCATAATACAAATAAATCCGCAGCATCGGCAGTTTAAATTCATAATGTGAAATATCATTGGATGGAGTTATTCTCCTCATTGAGCAATTGATTGTACACAAGGACAGTTGATTTGTATGTTTAACACGAAGGATTTTGTATCATTTTACATGTTCATGCCAAGCGACATCGATGAGTGTGTCGTGCCTATTTTCCAGGAGGATTAAACCGACCTCTATCATTATTTTCGATTTAAAGCTTTCGTGACTGCAGGGATTTATCTTCTTGGTTCTTTCGGTAAAGTCACGTAGAATGGAAATAATAAAAATAAAACATAATAAAATAATTCTCACGACGTTTCGGCCACAACGCAAGCAGCCGTCCTCAGGTGGAGAATAGGGGAGACAGCGTCTCCCCGACAGACCTTTTATTATTTCCATTCTACGTGACTTTACCGAAAGAACCAAGAAGATCTATCATTCTTGTGACCTCCAACCTCTTCGGCAGCATCATTTGTATTTGAACAGAAAGGCTCAGTTTTTAAATCAAGAGATAATATGGATGAGACTGGAAAATCTAGATGAAAATAACAGATTCTTGAGTCGAACGCGGTCGTCAATCGTGAAAATTAATCAAATAACCTTTGGGCAATTTGGCTGGGGGGCGGAGGGGCTGGGGTGGTGGCATAACTACACGCCTAATTTGTACATATGGGTGATTAACCGCAGTAATTTTTCTTCTTTTTCCACACGTAACCTGAGCGGAAAGAGAATATCAAGAAACCCGCATGGGCAAAGTGTAGCATTTAGCAGAGGACTTAACAGGGGTGGCTCCTCTATTCCCCCGGGGGTCTCTTTTGATGGGATGGAAATGGATTTGGGTACTAATTAGGTCTTGGGGGGGGGGGGGAGATACCAGAGAGGGGCACTTGCAGGGAGCCCTAATCCCAGTGCACAGGTGCGAGGGACAGGCCGGCAGTGATTAAGCGCATGGCGCGCACGCCAGGATATCTCTCCTAACCCCAATTTTCTCTCTGCAGGGGGCACCGTGTCCACGGCCTTATCCAGATTTTCATTGTGCCCCCCTTGTCCCCGCGCCCCCCCCCCCCACCCGATCCGCCTTTGTGGTAGTTGAGTGTACGGCTGTGCAACTGCAGCGGTTTTTTTAAACGAAGTTGGTCGTGATTGTCCGATGGAATTTTCAGCACTTGCTCAGGGCTGTAAATGGGAGATGAGTGATTCCCCATGTTCAATTGAGCAGGAAACCACTGACTTTTATCTTAATGCACCCATCGTATAACAAAAATGAAGCACTTTCATCAGTAACTGTATTTAGAAATAACTAGATGAATGCAATCCAGCTCATCTTTATTTTTGTTTTACAAATATTAGCCTTTTTTACATGCAGATTGTTGTAAAGGTAAAATATAAAAAGAGACGTTATTAGCCGGGGGTAAAATCAGCTCCTCTGATCTAACACGGTCTGGCCAACGTACGGTGCGGAAGAAGTTGTACATACATAAATACAGCTCATGCCTCCTCCACGTACTTTAAAGTGCGACGCAGGATCGCACGCGTGGGGTTATAGTACGAGTCGGGCGTGGGGTTATAGTACGAGTCGGACGTGGGGTTATAGTACGAGTCGGACGTGGGGTTATAGTACGAGTCGGGCGTGGGGTTATAGTACGAGTCGGGCGTGGGGTTATAGTACGAGTCGGGCGTGGGGTTATAGTACGAGTCGGGCGTGGGGTTATAGTACAAGTCGGACGTGGGGTTATAGTACGAGTCGGGCGTGGGGTTATAGTACGAGTCGGGCGTGGGGTTATAGTACGAGTCGGACGTGGGGTTATAGTACGAGTTGGACGTGGGGTTATAGTACGAGTTGGGCGTGGGGTTATAGTACGAGTCGGACGTGGGGTTATAGTACGAGTCGGACGTGGGGTTATAGTACGAGTCGGACGTGGGGTTATAGTACGAGTCGGACGTGGGGTTATAGTACGAGTCGGACGTGGGGTTATAGTACGAGTCGGGCGTGGGGTTATAGTACGAGTCGGGCGTGGGGTTATAGTACGAGTCGGGCGTGGGGTTATAGTACGAGTCGGACGTGGGGTTATAGTACGAGTCGGACGTGGGATTATAGTACGAGTCGGGCGTGGGGTTATAGTACGAGTCGGACGTGGGGTTATAGTACGAGTCGGACGTGGGGTTATAGTACGAGTCGGACGTGGGGTTATAGTACGAGTCGGACGTGAGAGTGGCGTGTCCGAATTGAACCTGCAGAGCGTGAAGAAGCTTTAATCTCAAAAAATAATTACGTCGCGCAGAGATTGTCTATTTGCGCCGCGGAAAGGTTAAAATAATGAAATGTTAATTTATGCACAGCCATTGAAAATATTAATTATTAGATGATACATTTAATTGGAATGAAATTCCATCCGAGCGTGCATAATGGCCGTAAATTATAACTGTGGGCGCACAGCTGCGGGGACTGCTGACTTTTTTGGCTACCTTGATGGAAGTGTGCGAGTCAAGTTAAATCCGTAACTGCACGCATCCAATAGTTGGCCTCCTCCCACAGTGTCCACCTTCCGCTAAAAATCTCCCTATTTACGTATCGACGGCCTGTTTACAGGCTCGCTGGCGCTGTTTAAAGGTGGCAATTAACCCTTTCGCCGCTCGGCTTGTGGTTTTCCTGCCTGCTTGCCAGAGCCCAGGATCAGTGTTTTTACACGCTTTTATTTAACTCACTCTGTCTGTTGTTGTTGTCGTATCCTCAAATCTTGTAATTCAATTTGTACCCACTTCCGAATATGGTATCGACTGCAAACCTGGTATACTTATGTCATACTGATGACAATACTATATTCTATCATAAAAAATACAAAAGATATTTTTTAACAATATTTTTACACGCTTTTATTTAACTCCCTGTCTGTTGTTGTTGTCGTATCCTCAAATCTTGTAACTCAATTTTAACCCACTTCCCAATATGATATCGACTACAAACTTGGTATACTTATGTCATACTGATGACAATACTATATTCTATCATAAAAAATAGCAAATATCTTTTAAACAATATTTTACACGCTTTTATTTAACTCACTGTCTGTTGTTGTTGTCGTATCCTCAAATCTTGTAACTCAATTTTAACCCACTTCCCAATATGGTATCGACTGCAAACCTGGTATACTTATGTCATACTGATGACAATACTATATTCTATCATTAAAAATACAAATTTTAACCATATTTTTTATATGTTATGTTTTGCCTTGGGTCTAATTGTCCACGCTCAACTGACGTTGGCTGTAAATCACCACGGCCCCTTATATTATTGCAAGCCTCGGGGCCACTTCCTGGAGTTCTGCCATTACTCGTATGGTACATTTCATTAAAGCGTGTTTTTAAAAACGTATTTTTAAATATTATTATTTTATTAACTCCAGTTTAGCTCGTGGGTTTGTAAGCTTGATTATTCATTTTGGAGATCTCCTGCGCAAGCTGGGTGAGGTGGCGCGAGTACGGTTCCTGGCCACGGCTGAAATCAGCGGCGAGCGATATCCTGAACGACCACCAACCTGTACTGATCATCATGGTGGTCAAATGACAAACGCATTGCAGCAGTGCAATATCTTAAATCGAATTACCGACAATCGGTGCTCGTGTGATTTTATTTATTCCTCGCATGTTCATGCGTTTTTGAATTAACGCCAGACTCTCTTTGCGCGTGCTGCGTTCACAGGGGGAGGCCGGGACCAAAGCACGGTCATAGAGGGGGGGAGAAGCGGCTCGGACGGAAGGGGCTACAACCGCCAACTCCGGGAGTGTCCGGCGGGATGGCGACGCGCCGTGGCCTGCTGCTTGCCTGCCTGCTCGCCGTGACATCACCGCTTGCCACCGGTGAGCCTAACCACCAACAATCACAAAGATCCCCCCCCCCATTTTAGCCTTGAACAGGCTGTGTGAGTACATAATAATAATGTCTAGCAAAGCTCATGAGAGGGTGGTGTGGCCAGCACCACAACCCGGATGACTTTGAACTCCCCAATGCTGATGCTTACACAGCACACCATGTTGAGTTGACCTCCGGGAGGGTCAGGATTTGTTCCGATATTTGCCAGTGATATTGGCCGTGTCTAGGTTTTTAGCGCGGTGTTTAATGTACGATGGCCTACCCCAATGAAAGACATAAATCTATCTAATGTGCCCGACATACCAGTCTGCTGACAGTGTCTCGTCAGAACAGGGTCACCAGTAGGAACGGTCAGAATAAAGGGGGCGCATGCATGCACGACGGTAAACCAACTAAACGCAAACGCGTTGCTGCCTTCCCCCCGCGGTCTGTTTTCTTTCTTTCTCCCGCAGTGGCGTCCGGGCCGGCTGAGTGCCGCATCCTGCGCTGCAACTCCGACTTCGTGGCATCTTCGACGGCCGCCCACACGGCATGGGAGCAGTGCGCGGCGCTGCGCGCGTACGCCCACTGCACACACGCCACGGCGCGCGCCTGCCGCGGCGACCTGGCCTACCACTCAGCCCGGCACGGCATCGACGACCTCATGGCGCAGCACAATTGCTCGCGCGACGGCCCCACGGCACCCACGCCGCCGCACGGCCGGTGAGTGGCCTTGCTCAACCCCAACTCACCCCCCTCCAACCCCCCCATACCCCCCAAACCCCACCACTCCCGACCCCCCCCCACCCTTCTCCACCGCTGACCGCCGGGTCCTTTTGGCCTCGTCAGCCAATGTAGGTGCATGTGTGTGACCATTCGGATAAAAGTGCGGATCATGATACCGGATTTTTTTCTTCATTTTTGCTCAACTTTTCACAACTCTCATCTCAACAAAATTAGAGGAAAGGGAAGAGAAATTCGAAATTTCTAAAGCACCATAAGATTATTACAGTGCCATTTTTAGCTAGTTATTTCTCAGGTAGTTCATCATCAGTACCAGTCAATGACTGTACAATGAAATGATGATGCCCAGGCTACGTGGCGACAGCTCTGCTAGTAATGTTCGTTTCCTAAGAGATTTTCGAGTTGCTATGATCACATGGACGGTGCGTGGTGACGACGACAGTGTAACTTGTGAGTACGCCCATTCTGAGTGCCGATGCTGGCTGTGGTAATGATGATGCCCACAAATTGCGTCAGCAGTATGTCCGGCCTTCTCTGGTGCCGACAGGTTGTGGCCGTAATGATAACGCCTTGGCGCTGACCACTGTGGTTGTAGTGGTGCTAGCGATCGCGCTCACGTTGGCTTTACTAATCGTAGCGGTAACGATCGGGGCAATGTTGGCACCAACAGTTGCGTCGGTATCGACTGCGCCCACGCCGGTGCTGATGATGGTTTCTCTTCTCCCGCTTCCCCTGCTCCTGCCACCATGCGTAGTAATCGCGTGGCGGCCGACTGGGGCCGCGCCGATCCAGGCGTGTGCAGCTACTCCCCGCCGGAGGGCGAGCGCGACATCGTGTACCGCCACTGCGGCCTCTTCGGGGACCCACACCTCCGCACCTTCATGGACGACTTCCAGACGTGCAAGGTGGAGGGCGCTTGGCCCCTCGTCGACAACCCTTACCTGTCCGTGCAGGTCACCAACATCCCCGTGGTGCCAGGCTCCAGCGCCACCGCCACCAACAAGGTGCGCATGCGGTTGAGCGGGGGAGGTGGGCAGCGGTGGTGGGGATGGTTTGTTGGTTGTCACGTCGTCGCTGATTGTCCGTAGTGCGCAGCTGTGATCAAGTTCTCTGGGGGCACTGTTTGGTACGCCACCTTGTATTCATGAGACTTAACTCCCTAGCTATAAAGTGGCAGTACAGCAAGTGGGGTTCATGTCCCTGTCTGTGCGCACTTAATGAGCATTGTAACCTTATTCTTTGGGTTTTCTGAGTATTTCACATGGCGTGGGAGGCCTGCATCTATCAGCGGATTGACAAAGGACTACAAATGATTGTTACTTAACTTTTTCACATCAACGGCCATTGTTATGGAAAGCATAATTTAGTTTTTTCTTTCTCCCTGCCAACATATCCCCCCTGTCGCGCTCGCAGCTGACCATCATCTTCAAGGAGTACGCGGAGTGCACGGACGTCAAGATGTACCAGGCGGAGACTGACAGTCTGCCGCCGGCGTTCGTCGACGGCTCCAAGAACGGCGGGCCTCGTGACACCACGGGCAGCCTGCGCATCTCCGAGCTGGTGCCCGGCCGCCACGTGGAGATCCAGGCTCGCTTCATCGCCACCACGCTCGTCGTGCGGCAGATCGGCCGCTACCTCACCTTCGCCGTGCGCGCCCCAGCGGCCGTGACGGCGTCTGGTGTCGGCGACGCGAACGGCGGCGGCCTGCAGCTGTGCCTCAACGGCTGCCCCACGTCGGAGCGGATTCGCGAGAACGACTACCGCGAGCTGCTCTCGCGAGCAGAGCAACGCGCGCAAAGATCGCGGGCCGCCGGCGGCGGAGGAGGAAGTTTCGAACCGGCGGGCTTCACGGCAGACTTTGCGCGCGCGAAATGCAAGGAGCGGCTGCACGTGGAAGACCTGTACTTCCACTCGTGCGTCTTCGACCTGCTGACGACGGGCGATTTGAACTTCACGCAGGCGGCGTACAGCGCCTTCGAAGATGTCAAGACTCTCTCGCCTGACAAGGACCGCATCCATATTTACCGAGGCACGAGCGATCCCACGCTGGGGAACGCCGCTCCGGGAAGGCCCCACGGCGTCACGGGCCCCGTACCGCTCACCTTGGCAATTCTCGCGATTTACTGCAGCGTCCGTGCATCTCTCTTGTGAATGTTGTTTTTTGGCGTGAACATGTTTAGGAAGAAAAATAATACGATTTACAAAATTGTAGTTTTTTTGTTTATTTGATTTATTTATATCGTGCGTTCAAAAAAACGTGTAATATATTGACAAAAATGATGGCAATGTTTGATGGGTGTTTTTTTTCACGCGACCTTGTACATAAGATTATATTGTGGGTGTTTTGTTGTGAACAAGTAGTGATCTGATGTTCTTTCTGATGTGTTGATGTTAATATTGAACTTGTGGTATTATTAATGGTTGAAACATCACCATTTATTCTGAACGTTTAAAAAAATTGCTGTGTGAAGCTATCGACTACAAAAGGATATTAAAAAGATTTGGACTTTTGAAAAAGAAACTTAATTATTAAAAAAAAATCTGTTCGAAAACTTTTCATCCACTACACCTTGAGTATTGTTGACTTTTTAAGCTGTGTAGACTACAGAGGTGTTGTGTTGTTGAAAGCCTAGCCATATCTGTACATACGTTATTTATTTATGGTCAAAAAGGCCTCTGTCCGTTAGATGTCTGGTAACTGTTCAACAATAAGCTTTGTCTACCATGCCGTGGGGTAAAAGTGCAGTGTGTGGGGTAAGGGGGGGGGCACGGGTTAAAGTGAAATAAAATCATGTTCTCTTTGACTTTCGCACTCGCGTACTCATTTACACGTGGACTACCAACGCGCAATCATGATTACAACAACATGGCCATGATTATGATTCATCGATGAGTAACATCGACTCATGCGTGTGAAACTTCTTTTCAATTAATATTTGTTGTATCCCAGCGACGTGTTCCCTCCAAGCGCACTTTTCTTAGCAGTCAACACGACGTCTTGAACTTCCGTTGATGGACAGCGGTTGAGGATCACCTTTCAGAGACGAGAACTCGCCAAAGTGGCAGTAGTCGACTGCGGAGATGATTGCGTTGACATCGGCTCGAGCGCAGATGCTCGATAGATTGTTAACATCGTGGGTACCCTGAGCAATGACGCCTGCCTGGGGGAGCTTCTCAACCAGCAGTGAATTGAGCATGGCTGGTGATACTACAGCGTGTGCTATACTGTACTCTCATCAGTTTGTGGCCCCTACAGCCACCAGAAATGCTGGTTTAAAAAAAATATATATGTGACCGCGATTCGTGCCAATCCATCAAATCGCGAGGGGAGCAAATCTTTTACACGTTTTAATAACGTGGTACAGTACCGAAGACTGAAAATGACGAGTAGCCGTGGTGTAATGGTTAGCAGCGCACACTTGACTTGCAATCCAGAGGTCGCCACTTCCACTCCATCTCCCGGCGCGGCAAATTAAACTGGGTTAAGTTTCTCAAATCCACCACCACACCCCCTCCCTCCACACCTGTCGACCCAGTAGTATAATAAATGGGTATGCCGCAGTTTGCCCATCAGTTGGTCACGTGCGGTGGGGTAAAGTGTGGGTACATCGACAGTAATTATGGTGAAATGCAATCCCACGCGACACTAAACTGCATTAGTGGGTAGCTGTGTGCAAACACGTGTACGCAAGCTTTTACAATGCGATTAGATTTTTTTTAATGTAATAACAGCATTCTCGTGCGTGAATATCTCACGATGCTGCAACACCCACTCGCGTAGAGGGCAATACTCGCACTTGGCTGTGAGGGGGGGTTGGTATTCGATCATGGGAAATGCAATTATGTACAGTACATTATAAAGAACATTGTGCAACCATGAATCATTAAGCTTGAAAGAAATATATAACGTGATTTGTTGCTAACGTGCTGGGGCAAAAAACTGGAATATAATTGCAATGCCATGAAATTATAAATATTGCCTAACAGTTTGAAAAAAATTTCCCTCGTGCATATATCCCGTGTTAACGATGTCTCTCGGCAGCCAAATGGCAGATGAATAATAATTCTTGATTTTCCCAGGAAAGCTGCAGCGTCAAGACTTGGAGACATAAAAATATATTTTCCTTGGTTGACCAAGCTATTCGGAAACACTGTTCTTCATTGAAAATGGTGTAGCATGTAAAAAAAGTGTGATTTATAATTAAAAAATGAAATAGTGCCATGGAAATTCTATTACACGTCCAACGATTTGTTTGTGGCTTTTGTATTGGGATTGCTGGTTTCATTTTGAGATATATTTTCGGCAAAATATTCACTTATTCGCCCGAAAAATTCTTGCAATGAAACTCCCCTTTATCATTTTAAAAAGCCGTAAAAAATGTTTAATTACAGAATGTGAGAAAGTGGGGTCATGCTTCCTGCAAAGGTTATCTGCTAGTAATGGCCTGAGGTCATAGCGATTAAACACGTGCTGCAAAAGCAAACGTGACGATACTATCGCAGCAATAAGCTCTCATGCATTTGGAAACGGATATTAAAAAATCACTTTCAAAATCAGAAAGCGATATATATTTCATCTTATCCCACACGATCGTTTTGAGACATTCCACAATACATGCAACCATATACTTCTGGATAGTGCTGACCAACTGTTTTCCATCTTGGAAGCAATTAAAAAAAAACTAACTGCGTCGGTTTTATAATATCACGTTGAAAGGCAGATGGAACGCCACACGTGACTCTCCCAGAGGTGTGACTTTAACACTCCCGTGTGCCCTTCATGGGAAAAGTCAACAGTCCACCGAGCCATACGAATGACGACAAAGGTCCTATGCTGCCACCATTTGGCAGTGGACAGTAACTGGTTGTCATACTCTTAGGTTTTTTCCGTAAAGATACGTCGGTAAAAATAAATAAATAATTTGTGACAATTATAGATATAAAATAATAAATCACGACGTTTCGGAGGCAACACAAGCTTTCTTCATCAGGTGTAAAAAGGCACAGCAAAATAACTGTAGTCACTTCAGTCACTACAGTTATTTTGCTGTGCCTTTTTATTATTATTTCTATAGTTTTTATCATAAATTTTGCATTACTTATATATTTTTTACCTACGTGACTTTACCGAAAAAACCTAAGAGTATGAATCCTTGCAGTCACGAAAGCTTCACATCTATAATTAACTGGATGTCAGTTTAACACAAAGTCGGCTTTCGCGATCAATGTCATCCATAATACAGTTTTTGGGGTTAGATCGCGTAAAATGTGCCATTATACCCGCCACCACCCGACAAAGCCAATTAGTAAGGTTTGTCACGTAAACAGAACATGCCAATTCGTTACGAGTACAGCACACCGGTGTGTTGGAGAGCCAAGCCAAAACATTTACAATCTGAGTACGACGTTTCGCCAGTAATTACAACTAGCGTCAGGCGACAGCCAGATTTGTGGAGAAATCCTCCTGTTTTATTTCTTAAATAGAAATAGAGGGATAGATGGTGATTAGCAACTGAATGTGTTTCCAATTTTCAACACTAGATGGCTTAGCTCAAAACCGGCACACTTGCCAGCATTTTATGGGCGGTATATTGAACTTCTTTTCGCTCCGTACGTAGCCAACCGTGTTAATCAGAGGTGCGGTATTGCTATATTAAAAAAAGTTTGGCTGGCTGGCGGACCACCCGCCTGCCTACCTGCCTGGACGGAGGATCACGTCCAAAAGAACGTGCAGACTGTGAGTTATCGCCACGGGCGGACATTGGTGTGGGCAGGGGACAATGCCCCCCATCTGGAGATCTTTATGAATTTATTGAGCAGTTTAAAATCAAGAATAAATACATTAATTATATGCACCCGCGATTCGTAATGTGAGCGACAAAGCGAACCTCTGCCCCCCCCCCCTCCAAATATAGAAGTGAAACTACGGCTTTGGTTATCACTCAGAAAAAACAATGGGACAATGCGCCTTTCCATATGTCTACATATAGGAAATAAAGGCAGTACTGCATTGTTTTACACAACCCACACAGCTAATGCTGCTGAAATAAATCCCAGAATTCCATGTTTTTATGTGGAGAGATAAATGGGAAGGTCTATTTATTTATTTTGTCATATTCTCCACAAAGACGCTAATTATTAGTGTGTGTTCTGGTTACACAAAAGCGTGGCCGCTAAACTGACTTCTTGATTTGTTTACGGTTGCTGACTGAGCACATGCCCAAAGGTCAAACACGTCAGTAACAAATGGCACCAAGGTAGAATAGATCAGACGATGGATGGATGGGTGGAGGGATTCCAAAGACGAGCAGTGCGAGCGAAGAAGGAAAACGAGAAGTGTTGTGACCTGCAGTGTGGTGGTTGAACTCATGATAGACCAAGTGAGAATCAGAATATTTACACTGCACTAGTTGTACTACCCGGCTTCGCCCGGGGACTTGGATTCACCACGCCTGTCGCATTTGTCTCCCCAGTGGCGATGTTCACACACCACAGCGGTGACTCGTTTGATGCCGAGTCGACCTAGAGGAGGCCCAGGACCGGTAAAAATAATCGTCACCGGTGGTGGCCGTGAGCGGGAATCGAACTCGGGTCGCCGGGTTCGTAGCGCAGCACGCTAACCACTACACTACATGGCAAATTTCAAGTTTGTTGCATGTCGGAAAGTACGCTAAACATTTTGAACAGACACACATATTCACAACTTTGACCTTTTATATATATATGGAGATGAATCCGATGAGCTATAAAGCTAATTTTCACCGATGTCCAGTAGGGGCACGGAGCCAGAACGTTACAACAACAAAGACCTCGACATGGTCGGACGAATCAGTGAGTGAAGTTCATGGGAACAGTAAACCTCTGTAGCAGCGATATAATAGTGACAAGGAGGCGATTGGACGCCGGTGAGAGATTGGTTGCAGTGGATCTGTGAGTGCTGGATCATTCATAAACGGGGCTGGGTTGCGTTGTTTTCCCAGTAAACGTGGGAAGTGCTGGAGATGCCTGCGAGATTAACTTCAACTCTGACCCACATACATCTGTTGGTGGGGGGGGGGGGAGACTTGCTTTTTGTAAACAAGGAGCGAGCGATATGCGACAGCGTTTCAACATTTATTTTCTTCAACATTACAATTATGTTAACTTATATAGGTAATCAGCGTTTCAGGAAATGCACATACGTGTGTGTATTTGATTGCAAGGGGATGCGTGAACTTCTATCCCCGTTGAACGTCTTTCGCACCGTACGTATGCCAACCATGCTAATCGGATGTTATGCATCCCCATGTGGGTAAAAGTCATTTTCTGTTGACGTTATGTCATTGTGAACAATGGTGACCGTGTCCTCTTGTAATATTTTACTGTAAAACACTTGTAAATCCACTGCCGGCTGGATGAACGCCTCCCCACGCAGCGATGAACACGGTTGGCAACGTACGGTGCGAAAGAAGTTCAACATATTACTACGTAGGGGGTGGTGTTCTAACCATACTTGACCACGCTGTCCACTACAGGTTGGTGAAGTGAGTCAGCCAGTATATTTCAGGTGAGGCCCCCCCAGTTGCACAATGTAGGTGTTCATCTTCTTGGTTCTTTCGGTAAAGTCACGTAGAAGGGAAGTAATAAAATAATTAAAATAAAACATAATAAAATAATTCTCACGACGTTTCGGCCACAACGCAAGCAGCCGTCCTCAGGTGAAACCAGACGCTGTCTCCCCGACAGACCTGGTCTTCACCTGAGGACGGCTGCTTGCGTTGTGGCCGAAACGTCGTGAGAATTATTTTATCATGTTTTATTTTTATTATTTTATTACTTCCCTCCTACGTGACTTTACCGAAAGAACCAAGAAGATGAATCCCTGCAGTCACGAAAGCTTTAAATCGAAATGTAGGTGTTGTTTTTTCAGTGGCTGCCCAGTCAGGGCCAGTTCAGATATTGGTCGCCCAACCGATGTAGCTGGATTCCTAAGTGCAACGTGGAAAAACCCGAATGCGTCTTGCTCTAAAAAACAAAACGCCAGTGCAGACGTTCCCTCTAGCGCCCAACATTTATTTTGCACATTTCACACAAATGCGTCATCAGCTGCAAAGCGGCCAACTGGGCCAAGGTCACCATCGTGAGCCGTCTTGGCAGGCTCGCCTTGTGGGGGGGGGGTTCTTCTATACATTTGGTGAAACGTTTCTTCATTCGTGAAGGGCCAAATAATTGCCGATGCTTTTGATAAACCATAAACCAGTGGTCTTCATTGCAAGGCCCGTGGGCCACTGGGTGGCCCCCTAACGTGCGGCCCCCGGACAAATGTGAAAACACCCCCCCCCATGATTGTGCTGCTGTCAAACCCCAATAGTTTGAAATGTGTGGCGGCCCTCACACTGATGATGTCTTATCGGCAAAAGTTGTATTCCCCCTCGCCCTCTGAGAACTAGTAACGAGTTGGTGGCACTCACGACATGTGGAAAATAACATTGGTGCTGTTTTGGGACAAGGCTTTTTTGGCGGTGGTGGTGGCGACGACTGTGGATTGTCATTGGTCTGTCTGTATCGTGCACACTACAGTACAGGTACGGAGTGTGGTTTATTTCCATCTCCTGGTGAAATAAAAGGGGACACCCTCTGATTAGCACGGTTGGCTACGTACGGTGCGAAAGAAGTTAAATGTACATACATGACAACGACAACAGGAACAAGACTAAATGCGTAGTGCCAGAATCACAACATGACAAGAGAACAAGCATTGTCGCTCTCCGTTGGTGTGAACATTGAAGTGATTGCGATGTTGATGTTCATGCTCTTAGTTCTTTCGGTAAAGTCACGTAGGTAAAAAAATGAAATTAAAATTTATAAAACGAAAACAATAACACCACCACGTTTCGGAGGCAACACAAGTCTCCATCATCAGGTGGGACCGTCACAGCCAGATTTGCTGCATCTTGATGTGTGTTGCCTCCGAAACGTCGTGATTTTATTGTTTTATTTTTATTAATTTTAATTTAAATTTTTTTACCTACGTGACTTTACCGAAAGAACTAAGAGTATGAATCCTTGCAGTCACGAAAGCTTCAAATCTAGAATTGATGTTCATGCTTTGCCTGTAAAAATCCATTTTACTTTGTATACGTATACATTCTATAAGTTGTAGATTAAATTGTTGCATATACACGTGTTGTTAGTTTGTGTGTATTACCCTTGATACTTTGTGCAACCCGCGTATTTCCATCTCAAGGGATTATCCGGGTAAAAAGATATTTCAAATCCAAAAAAAGTTCGGGATCAGCAGGTTACCCCTTTATTACTTTGCACAGTGCAAGGACAGGCACTTATCCTCGTGCAACTAGGAATGGCAATTGGAAATGGAGCAAAGGTCGTTCACTTTACACGCACGCATACCTCCCGTCTCTCGTGGGTGGTGGAGGGTGGGGGACACGGAATCAGTAACGGCATTTTTAAAACCACAGCACAGGGAATAGTGAGCGAAACAACGACGTTTTAGATGCGTCCAATCTCACACATGTGCGTGTCTCTTTCACAAGAGCCCGGCCCCACCGTTAAGTTTCATACAAGATTTGTCTTTCAGTACGAACTCCCCCGCGTTAGGCCTGTTGAGGGTGACCGTCAAACAGCGATGCCGTAGCTTCACTAGAGACGTGGGGAGGTCAAACGAGCTCGCAACACAGTCATCACAAGGACCCTAAAAAAAAACCACAGTTCACCAAAACGACTCACCGATTTTAAGGGGTCATTTGCCCGAAACCTTTGCCAATTTTTTTCTAACGGATAAAAAAACCCATCGTTTTACTAGTCAATGCACACTCCCCCAACACCCCACGGGCGTTAATAACGAATGGTTTATGTTTTAGCACAAAGCACATTTGCTCGTTGCAGTTGCACGACTCCTGCCAGCAGGCGGGCAGCACTGCGTTGTGTGAGTGGTGGGCGTCTCTCCACGTGCTCTCTCTAGCCATAGCTGCCTCCCTGCCTTCTGCCACCACCCCCTACACCTCTATAAAGAGAGACGTCCAGCCGACGTCGCATTCGCTTCCCGCACAAAACTCACATCCCAACAATCTCCCCCAAGTGTAAATTTCTTTGCTTTTAAATCGATTTGAATCCTCGTCCACCCACCCCAACTCTCAATTGTAATCTCACCGCCACTGCGCCCAATCCACTTCGCAATGGCCCTTCTTCGTGGTGAGTACAGTACAAATGCGTCCGGTGGTGTTTGCATGGTTTCCGTTTGCAAGATTGCGTTGTTTTTTGTACCACCCCTCCGTGTGCTCGAGTACTTAGCCACAGATCGTGTGAAACGTCTGCGAACTACGACGATGTTTGATATACTGTATCAAGGAAACCCTCTTTGTGGATGAGTAGTGGTTTTCAGCCGAGTTTTGTGTATGGGGGTTGGAAGGTATTGTAGCAAAACGTACGGTCCGTTTTGTCGAGGGTCAAGGAAAGGAAGACGATCAGTTTAACACACGTAGGAAGCTCCAAATTAAGTATACACGTATGAAGCTTTCGTGACCAATATCCACATGTTTTTGGGGGTTATATCTGGCTGTCGCCTGATGATGCTAGTTGTAATTAGTGGCGAAATGTCGTACTTTGTGGATTTACTCGCTAACACACCGGTGTGCTGTACTCTTAACGAATTGGCATGTTCTTCTGACGTGACAAGCCTTACTGATTGGGCTGTCGGGTGGTGGAGGGTTTAACGACACATTTATAGTTACGCGATCTAACCCAACAAATACTCTTGTGGAAGGATTGTGTCCACTCGCTGAACTTGTAAACACGTGGGAGAAAGTGTGTGTTGCCAGATTTAGGAACGTTGTTATGGACAACACGCGAAACTTGAGACGGTCAGACGTAGAGAGACCTAAACGTGTGATACAATGAGCGTAGCACACCTAACGTAAAGTGTCAAACCAGTCGTTTATACATCACCTTTTGTAACCAGGTTACGAGGCCCACTGAGACTGAGTCTCCCTTTCATGAGCAGACGTGTGTCAAACTATAAGGCCAACATTGGTTCAAGTCCTGTTTCCATTTGCATGCAACTACACTGTCATATATAGAGATGTTAAAGTTAACTCACGTAGCTGTTTAAAACTCCAACCCTAATGTATTATAACAACACGACTGTATATGAAGCTCTTTATCCAAACGACCAACTCAAAAAGTGTTACTCCCTAACGCCAATAATTAAGCAAGCCTTAACTCTATACTTAAGCCAAACCCTAACTCAAGGGTTAACTAAACACCAATCTTTAACCAAACCGTAACTATGGAGTTAGGCCAAACCCTAGCCTGAACCCCACCTATTCCATAACCAAAGGCCTAAGCCAAATCTTTAACCAATCTATAAAACTAGACATGTCCTTAATTTCACTGTAAGGAGGGCAGTTTTAAGTTAAGAGTACCGTAACAATGGTTCTTTATGCAAAAAAAAGCTACATCTTAGGGCCTAAGATGGCACTGTGTTGGACGTTTGCCAAATTCCTTTTTAAGTAATTCGTCATGTGGAAAGAAACTGGAGTGTTTACGAAACCCATCCGTACATGGTTAATTATAAATGGTACATTGGTCATTCCACTGCTGGATTAAGGCCTCCCTGCACTTGTTGTAGGTCATGGTGAACGTTCGACCACACTTCATGCTGGTCAGTGGAGGTTGATGAAGCAATATTTGCTCAGAACCTGTTCGGATATCACTCGCCAAGGATGTTAGGCGAGTTGCAGGAATCAATTCGGGTCACAGGGTTCATTGTGCAGTGTGCCAGCCAAATGCTTCATTCGCCCATCCGTATATACTTTATTTTCCAGCTGTTTTTGCCAGAAAGTTTCACATATCCCAAAAACAGTCCGCCAATAACTTACTGCATCGTTTTTCGTGGTTGTGCCGTTTAGCTCTGATGTGTCTCTTGAGTTGTACCGTGCGGCGTTTCTGCATCACGTCTGATCGTTTCGCTCCGTGCGATGATGGTAGCTTCTCGAGTTCAATTCCAGAAGAAGCCCTCCCCCGATCCCCAGCATATGGTGTGAAACGTCGGACGTCATGCCGAACAGCATCATGGTACAACATGAAAAACACATCGGAACGGGAGGCAATTAATTTATAATAATTAATGTAAAGAGAGATGGTGTAGAGCCTAAAATGACATTTTTTTTGACTGGTATTGACACTTGTGCAGAAGCAGGGGCCGAAAATAATTTTACACATTGCAAATAGAAAACCTCGCCTTATAACTGAATATAATACTACAAACATATCTGCAAATGTGCTGCCTTGAACATTGGATGACATAAAATGCTTGGCTTGTTTGAATACCAGCATTAGGCAAGATTACACAATGTGGTGCCTTGTCCTTAATGCTCTTATTCCAATGTATCCCTCTGAACTGGCACCAGAACAGAAAAATAGGCTTATTGCTTGCCAAGAGTAACACACTAAAACTGCTCCATCTACAAAGCTTTGCAGTCCCATTGCTTGTACGCGTTTTTTGGGTATAGACCAGGGGGGGGGGGGGCGGGCAACCAAAATAACAAGATCATTTTCTTTCTAATTCGGTAAAAAACCCCGCAATATTTCAAGAGCCACAATGCAATGTGAGTAACACCACTCAGGAATCCATAAAGAACTGCATGCAGCTCCAGAGCCGTTGAGGTTTGCCAATCCTCTGCTATAGACACTCGACCAGGGCAGGGGACAGTTGAACTCCCCTGGCTGAGGACTACGGGGGTGCTTTCAAGGTCATTGGTGTCGGCACTGTAGCCCAGTGCAATGTGTTCAGACGTCAGTTGTGCAACTCTCGCCAGGGCATTCGTACTCGCCTGCAACAAGAACACTGCTCACCGTATCCCATCCCCCCCCCCCCCCCTGCAGCACGGTAGCTTGGGGTTCATCGTCAGCCGTAATCAATCCACTGCTGGATGAAGGCCTCCCCAAACCGTCGCCATCTCTCACGGTCCCGCGATGCAACGTTTAAAAAATAACTTTCTGCACCGCCTTCCTTTGTGTGATCAAATGCGGCCGTGCCACTCCCGTGTAACAGAGCTTTAGCGACGGGGTTTATGGATCGTGGAGAGATGGATTTTGTTCGTACAACTTCCAAGCCACGTGACTAGCTAAGAGCGGGCAGTTACCCGACATGGTATGTGGGGAGGTTTTCATTTGGCAGTGAGTTGTCTTTTATTGTTCGCCTTTTGGCGTTCTCTGGTCTAATACTGGCAAGACTAGGCCATAAAGAAAGGCCGTCTTTGGTGTAGGCCAATCTGTTTCAAAGACTGCACATATTATCAAAGCATGTTTGCATTTTCACAAGCATGTGTGGTTAATGTAGACTTGATTCATTAACACCTGTTTTATTGCCAGAAAGGGTAAAACCCTATTGTTTTTATACTGGGCTGTTACGGATTCATTATTTGATTTCAATTGAATGCAGGAACACAGTTGACCTTCAGTGCCATGCATGACCCCCCATTCACGCAAAGATGCATTCACACAAATGTGTTCTCCCTCACCAGCTGGTGAGCAGCATCCTTTCCTTATTCTCATACCTACCGAGAGTGAACTCATTGCGCAATCCCCCATCACCATCCGTTATGCGGGTGACCCGTGCACCAGCAACTGCACACGGAGTCCCATGGCTTTCAAAATTTCGACATCCGCAATTGTCCGAATGATATTTGGGCTCCCATTGTTGGTCGGTGTCTTTAAGACGTTTGTCCTTGGTTGGAGGTCTCATCACCCAGTTTGATCCCCGTGTCTTGAGATCCGGTCAGCACTCACCGTGCCAGAACCTCTTGGTTGACGCCACCTGTTTGTGCTCGAACGGAGTGCTCCCCGTAATCTGGTTTTCGTTGGCCAGGCACCAAGTTGAGTCTTGTGGGAACCTGCTGCCCAGGCGACACCTCATCTGAATCCTTTGTTCTTATGTCCGTGACTTGAAGAAGTAATAATTTGTATTCATAAGAGGTTACTGGCTAGTTCAGCGGTGGCAGAGCACTGGTTTAGCGCTGCCGAGATCCTGGGTTTGTTATCCTGGTTTAGGCCACCTGTCATAAACCAGATTCTCTAATCGAGCGAATTCATAGGCTCAGCCCCATCACCATTAACTGGCCCGCACGCAAAAAACCCCATCAGATTGAAATTGGTTTTCACTTCAATTGGCAAAAAAATGCCAGCTTTGAATGTAAATCATATCTGACTTCCATGTGACAAAAACAACTTTTTCATTGCATGGAAAATGGCACCCAAATGTTGTGCATAAGGTCACTTGAAGGGATCAGAAGGTATATAAAATAACCTTTGTTAGGGCATTCTTGGAACGCACAGGGCAATGCCTTGCTTTGAGAGTTTCAATTACACACCTCGTCTCCTGAGATGACACCGACAGCACAATCGCAATAAAATTCATGTATAATTGTAGCAGCAAGAAGGCGGTACTGGAAAAGTAATAAATAAAGCATTTAACTAGTTAGAAATATATTTGAATTGCGACACAAAAGAACATAAGTTGCTTTATTGTAATTAAGCATTTCAAAGGTTATCCAATTTTATATTTTTTACACAACTGATGGCTACTTTCCTCAACAAATGATCATTTCCTATAGCAGCATAATCTTTCACTCTAACAAACACATAATAACCAGGCTTTTATTACTGCTTACCCCCCACAGTATTGGTGGTGCAAGGGAGCAGTGTTGAGAGCACTTTGCTATGAGCCCAGCTTACTCGAGTTTAATTCCCAGCCATGGCTAACATCATTGGCACGAGATATGAACTGGTTCTGGGCGAGCCCCTTCACCAACCTGCACCGTAAAGTATGGTCCAATAACCCCGATGCCATGGGAGTCCTTTATCCAGCAGTTATTATCCAAGTTAACACGCAGCCCCAGGTGACAATATAATCTGCTCAATTAAAAATAGTTTGCTCGGGAATGTGTATAATCGGGCGGGTGCTGAGTGCAATTACAGCCAATTATATTTTCGTTTCAGAATGTGTTGTGCACAGATGCTGTGGTTTGTTGTCTGTTGTTACTTGTCTGTTTTATTTTAAATGCAGCCCTGCTTTTTTTTTAAACAAGTAGCAGATGCCGGCTGTCACGTCTGCTGCTTTGCCACGTGCTTCGTTCGGCTGCCTTATGATATAGGCGGTTAGAAAAATAAAGTGATTCAAATGAGCCATTTCTTCCAAGTTGAAGGGTCTTAAATACGCATAAACATAACGTAATATTGTGTCTGCTTCAATTTACACTGCACAATTGCGATTAAGGATCCCGCTGGGTAGACCCTGGGAGCACACACATCGCTCCCTTGTGAGCGATACATTGGGCTCGTAACGCGTGGGGAAAATACGAATGGCAAATTTAATTGGGCACAACTGCATACATTTGCAGTCATGTATGTGTGCAAATGTCTGCTTATAAGTACAAATTCCTGTTTATATTGTACCTACAAACATTTTATCCATCTCAATATGGTATTGCTCTCCTATCCCACATACGTTTGTGGTATTGTAGGGCACAGACAGGTATCCCATAAAAAATGCATTATCCCACTGGGCCCTCTGCTTCTTTTCCATTATTGTACCATACATAGCATTCTCTCACGTCTTTACCTTCACCAACCTGTAAAAGTGAAATACGATCAAATAGCCTTCACAAATCACCGTGCCCCCAAGAGCTTAGAATGGTCAATTATTTGTTAATTTTTTTCTTACTTACCATGAGGCCAATGATCATAGGGCATAACATTCATACCGTAGGCTCCTTGGTTCCATCCGGTCAGAATGAACCCTAGCTCGGCGACCACACAGAAATGCCAACAACGCGGACGGACGATGTCTCTTACAACGCAGACGTGTACCGAACCCGTATTTGTGTGCCCGCGCGTGGAGCAGGTGTGTTTGTGGTGGCGGCCAAGCGGACGCCGTTCGGCGCGTACGGCGGTTCCCTCAAGGACCTGACGGCCACCGACCTTGCCGAGCACGCGTCGCGCGCCGCTCTTGCCGCCGCCAAACTCTCGCCCGAGAACATCGACAGTGTCATCGTCGGAAACGTCATTCAGGTGGGGACGGTGGTTGGAACGGTGGAGACTTGGGACTGTGTCGTAACATGGGCCGAGGACATACCCGGTTGCACAGCTGGGCCAGCAGACATGGGTCTCTGTCATAAGGGGGGCAATGTTATACCTGGGTATACTGGTAGGGGAGGTGGAGGCCTAGTAGAATGTGTCCTAAGGGGGTAAGGGCATACCTGCTTAGATTGGATTAGTGGAGGCCTGAGTCTGTTCTCAGGGGCAAGGTCATACTAGGTCACAAATATGGGCAGTGGAGATCTGGAGCACTCGATGGGCAAGTGCAAATTGCATGCTGTTGCTTATGACTAAATAATCTGTAATGTGCCCAATCTGGGAAGTTAAGCATGGTTAAGCCTGGATGGTGCTTGGATGAGTGACACCCACGCACAAATGGGTAGCTTTCTGGCTTGCGGAGATACGTGGTGGACAGAAGAGGGGAGTGCAGCAAAAGCCATTGTTGTATTGTACTTCTGTGCTCTCATGTTTAAGCTGTCCGCCTTTACTGATCAGCGTCGTGAGGTATGCTCAAACGAGTTTGGAAAAAACGAGACAGATTGCTGGACCGAGTTCATTGGGGAATTTAAACCTTTGCGTGCCTAGTAGGTGCGCGGGTTGAGTGCATAGCAGGTGGGTGAGCACGCGCGAGTCCAGTACGTGAGCGAGCGTTTGCGAGCGAGGTTTGCGCGTCGATTTTGCTAGTCGAATTGCCACCCCCGAATTTTTGATGGCTCGTTCGCTCGCTCGCCATCTAGCGAACGGCGGTCGAGTGTGTGAAGTGTGGTTGTGAGCAAACTGTGAGAGCAGGAGCACAGCGGGGTGTGGGGGTGCGTGGACGAGGTTATGCACGTGCCGTACTTCGCGCGCAAGCGGGGCAGCTGATAAGGAAAACGTGGTGGTCTGAGTGTACATGCAGTAACGCGTGACCCTGCGGCAATGGCCACGTGTGCGCGCAGAGCTCGTCGGACGCCGCGTACATGGCTCGGCACGTGGGCCTGCGCATCGGCGTGCCCATCCCGGCTCCGGCACTGACCCTGAATCGTCTGTGCGGCTCCGGCTTCCAGGCTGTCATTTCCGGCACGCAGGTACAGCTCGTGGATATTTGTTTCTTTATCTAAGTGATCGACGCACCTTGCAGCCAACGCGCAACGATTTTCAGATTCTTCTGTGATATCTACGCACGAGAAAACCAGGCTTGACCTGTTTTGTGATGGTGCGATCATGGGTTCACATGATCGGCATGGTGCTTGCAAGTATAAGTGGTAGTGAGCAGGTGAAGCAAGTAAAATCTGCATGCATCTAAAACATCTACAGTGAGATGAGATTTTTATTCTGCCCTTGAAGCTGTTGGCAGTGAAAAGCAGACCATTTATTGGTGTTTAAAGCTCAAGTGGTATACCACAATGTCTGAGACATTATTAAGGGTTATTAAAATAAAAATTGTGCAACACTACAATTGAGCTATAAACAGTCCTTTAAGATTAGATTTCGTCCTTAGATGCGACAAAGCAGTATTTATATATGATTAGCATATGGATATAAATCTTAAAAATAAAATTTTTAACTAAATCTGAAGCTTTTACATGCCACTTTCAAACATCTTTACTGCCACCGTTAAGTTTACAAGTACACGGAATTTTTTTTAAACTTCTCAACAATCACGTATTTTGCGGTGACAAATCTATTGATGAGGTTTGATTTTTTTCTTGTTTTAATATATTTTATGAATGTAGGAGAGTGACACTTCTGTCCTAACAGTTTGTTTCTTGGGCACGGTTAGTAAAAGAGAGAACAGTGAGCCCGTGACATTGAGTGCACGTGCCCATCTGTGGCGAGAGCTGGTGGCCTCTTGCGACCCGACAAATGTACTCTTCTCTCGAGTAACCTGTCCACCCCACATCAGCCACACCACACCGGTACAACCTTCGGTTGTGGCAGGATAATGCCCTGAACTCTTGTTTCAACAACTGATCCGGATTCTCAGAGACAGGCAAACCCCCCTCCCCCAAAACCAGCAGCAGCAGCTTTCGTTTGTTCCTATGCTTTGCAAAGCACCTGCATTTGAGAGAGCGTGACCCTGGGCTGTTACGATTGGTCCGTGGCGGCGGTGATGATTGCCGCCACCAGTTGAGTAGCAATGTTAGCTGTCTCGCTGCCTTTTGTGGGCGATGAGCCCGTGATTGGCAGTTTGCTTTATTTAATAGAGCTCTGTTAAAAGCGAATAAGAGTATAGATCGATAGATTTAAAAAGGATGGCGCAATAAAAATAATGCGTTGTTTTGAGTGAGCTTGAAGTTAAAGTTAATGAGAAGGGGGAAAAAACTACTTCGAGGCTACTGTTAGATTCTGTGTTGCGGTGATGCCACATCAATGCCACTCGCATACATTTTGAATATTGCATTAATGCTATTATAGGAGTGCCAAACGGTGATTTCTATTTTTCTAACTCGAACAAGGATGAGCATTACTTTACACGAAACATTTGGACGCAACAAAAAAATCTAATTTTCAGTGTGCAAGTTTGTTTTTCGAGAGATGCAGTGGTTTTCTTTAAAAAAATGTTTATAGCCATCCCGTTCCAAGTGCCGTGGCAATGCCAACTTGAACGACCCTCTCTCCCTTTCCTTTCCTTTACTGCACCCTAAACCCTTCCCCGTGACCACACTTGTGCCGTGCGCGTTTTTGCAGGAGATCTGCGTGCGCGACGCGGAGGTGGTGCTGTGCAGCGGCGCAGAGAACATGAGCCAGTCCCCTTACGCCGTGCGAGACATCCGCTTCGGCACCCGGCTTGGGATGGACCTCAAGGCAGGCCCCCCCCCCCAATCCCTCCACATTTTCCCCATACTTTTCCTTCTACACCCCCCGCTCCAACTTCCTTTCCACTCATGCCACCATCCCTCTCGTGCGTGTACGCATGCGTGTCTGTACTTAGTCAAACCATAAACCAAACAATTTTTTACACGCTTTTATTTAACTCACTGTCTGTTGTTGTTGTTCTTGTTGTCGTCGTCGTTGTATCCTCAAATCTTGTAACTCAATTTTTACCCACTTCCCAATGTGGTATCGACTGCAAACTTGGTATACGTATGTCATACTGATCACAATACTATATTCTATCATAAAAAATTCAAACAAATATTTTAAAACATTATTTTTTATATATTATGTTTCGGCTTGACTCTAATTGTCCATGGTAAACTGACGTTGGCTGTAAATTACCACGGTTCCTTACGTTATGGCAACCTTCGGGGGCCACTTCCTGGAGTCGTGGAGTTCTTCCATTACTAGTACGGTACATTTCATTAAAGCGTGTTTTTTAAAAGTTTTTTTTTATATTACTTATTTTTTTTACCAGGTAAGATCCCGAGCTGTATAGCTTTTCTTCAGATGCAACCTGGCCACAAATCATAGCCCAGTGAAGTGTCTTATCATGTAGACATTTATAGGAGCCAAATACTATAAACGCATGTTTCTAAAAGTGGAGGGAAAAACTGGAGGACCTGAAGAAATATCCACGCAAACAAATATACATCTGTTCCACCAGGCAGTATTAATGGCAGGTACAGTTGATCGGCAGGTCACGTGGTGTGTCAATGACGAGCGCGGAATAGTAGGCTTATCATCCTCTAGATGTCCATTATACCACAGCAGCCTCCTGTAAGCAAGCCTATACGTGCTTGTCCGTATCATATAAATTGTCTCAAACATATATTGCGTGCGCACGCGGCCAGATGGAGGACACTCTGTGGAACGGGCTGACGGACCAGCACATCAAGATGCCGATGGGCATCACGGCCGAGAACCTGGCGGAGAAGTACAAGCTCTCGAGGGAGGACTGCGACCGCCACGCGCTGCAGTCGCAGCAGCGCTGGCTCGCTGGTACACACTCGCTCGCTGCCCCCCCCCCTCTCCCGTCATCTTGCCGTACTCATGCCGTTGTTGGCACCTGCGCACTGCACTCAACATTACCACCATGCTGCCCCCTACCCCTCTTTGTTCACAGTGCAACCACCGCACCACAACAGTGCTCACAATTACATTATCACCACCCGTCCCCCCCCACAATTAGTGCCACAACTGCAAGTTACCACCACCGCCACGCTGTCCGTGTGCAGGTGTTAAGTGGATTGTTACATCACAGGTCTATGAGGGATGGCCACGGCTTAGGGGAGGCATTCATCCAGCAGTGGCTGACGATGATGCCAATGATGAATGTCGTTAACATAAAATACAAATTTTATTAAACGATTTTGTTTGCTGCCCACTGCAGCGCACGAGGGCGGTAACTTCAAGGAGGAGATGGCACCCATCGAGATCAAGGTGAAGAAAGGCAAGCAGATGATGGACAAGGACGAGCACGCGCGGCCCACTGTCACCCTGGAGCAACTCGGCAAGCTCCCGAACGTCTTCAAGAAGGGCGGCGTCGTCACCGCTGGCAACGCCTCCGTACGGGAAGCATCGTCATTCGTTCGCCAACTTGTCTGGTCTTCTGAAAATGTCGTGATGGAGGTGGCCGAATGGGCTCAAGAGAGCACTGAGCCAGCACTGCCGAGATCCCGAAATGGAATTTTGGTTTCGCTCACATACCTCCAGTTTTTTAAATGCACGTGCGAGTGCGACCTGGGTTAAATTCCTGGTCGCAGCTAGCTAACATTGGTGTTGAATGATATCAGTTCCGATCTTGGGCCTCCCCCTTAGGTGGACTCGGCCTTAAACGAGCACCAAATTATTATCTTGGGTGTTGTTGGGTGTCGTTGTTGTTGCGCGTGCTCAGGGCGTGTCGGACGGAGCTGCGACTGTGCTGATTGCGAGCGAGGAAGCCGTTAAGAAGCTCAAACTCACCCCACTGGCCAGAATCGTGGCCTATCACGTGTCTGGCTGTGATCCCAACATCATGGGCATAGGTAAGTGCTCCGTTGTGAATTGAATGTTTGTGTGTATATGTGGGGAGTGGTGGCGTGTAGCGGTTAGCGAGCTGCGCTTCGAATCCGGCGACTTGGGATCAATTCCCAATCACATCCAACACCAGTGACGATTGTCTGAACCGGTCCTAGGCCTCCTCTAGGTCGAATCGGTCTCAAATGAGTACCTGGAGTGATGTGTAAACATCGCTACTGGAGAGACAAAGGTGGTCTGGTGTGGTGCTGGCCACCCACCCCCTGGTGTACCGGCCTTCATGTTACTCGCTAACTTGCCCCAACAGTCTGTCAAGGCTATACGGGGTGGGGGGGGGTCTGTGTATATTAGGGATTCACATTTGAGGTCAGCAATGTTTTTAATTTCAGATTTTACAGGAAGATTTCAGATATTTTCAGATGATTTACATTAGCTGATGGTTTGACATGTCTTCACGCTAAAAAAAGTGACCTCACCTGATGCCACGCTGTGCTGCTTTGTCAGGAAAAGCTAGGAATAGACCTCATGTGACAATTTCCTGTGGTCTCGCACTTTGATCAATTCAAATCACATTTTTTTTTCGGATCAATCAAAATGTTCTATCTCGGCCCCATTCTCAGATTAATTCTAAAATTGAGAACATATCTGTCGTGTGTGTGTGTGTGTATTATGCCAGTATGTGTATCATAATCAGTTATTAAAGTGAACCAAAATGGTAATTTATAGCCTTGGTCAATCCAATGTTGGATGTCAAATAACCAGGGTTGAGCCTGATGACTATTTGGATAAGACTGTCTCATAGCTAAGGCTACAAGGTGAATTGAATCTTGAATCCATCTGTGTGGAGCTTGGAGTGTTATATCCTCTTTTCTGGGGGTGTATATACTGGTAGGAACCACTTGGTTCCACCAGCCCACAGGGGATTATTGTGTCCGTCCGTCGTGCATCCAAAAATGGGAGGGGTCGGGCTGGGTGGAGAGGGGAGGGTTGGGAGGGGCTGGGTGGGGAGGGTGGGGAGGGGCTGGGTGGGGAGGGGAGGGTGGGGGTGGGAGGGATGGGGCTGGGCGAGGAGGGGCAGGTCACCCCGTGGTGCCCTTATAAAACTCAACGTTTAACCTACTCACGGCCGGCTTGTGCCCGCCCTCAGTCGGCCATATTTGCGGAATACACCACGCTGCCGTTGACCCTGGCCATTGACCGAGCAACCCAACGTTCCTACCAGCTCCCTCTGCAGGAATGTGTTAGAATTGGTTTGTCAAGTCTTGGTACTCAGGCTTGACTGGGTAAAGTAAAGGCCATTGTAAAATGAAGGACAATATTGCAAAATGTATAACATTTTCAGCTGAAGCATAACAGTCCCTTGAATCATGTTAGTGGTTAATAAGTAAATGCCTATTTTTCATAATTGGAACTTGTTCAGTAGCATTAGCAAGTTCATTGCTAGGCTGTTCACCTGCCTGTATTTAAATACACGATCAAGCGGTACACACAACTTGGTTATTGACTTGCACGCGTGGCCAGAGTTGCATTAAAAAAGAGGCTCGCTTCTTGGATTGGCTTTTACATCGTTAACTCTTCAGTTTAACACATGGGGTTTCGCGACCAATGTTATCCATAACTTTTGTTTCTTAGGCCCAGTCTCGGCCATCCAGGGAGCTCTGAAGAAGGCTGGATTGAGCATCAAGGACATGGACCTGGTGGATGTGAGGATGCAAACACAGCTGAACCTCGCACTTTTGACTCTACCACCCTCATTGTTATCATCAATAGCCGTGATCTATCCACTGCTGGATGAAGTCTTCCCCATCGCCGTGTGGGATCGTGATGCAACAACCCATTTAGTTCCATCTCCGTGGTGGACACATTCTCAGGCATTCCCTACTTTGGCTGCCACTCCGTCATTAGTCACCTTGGTTTGATTCCTGGCCATGGATGATATTAGTTGCGAGTGATATCGTCCTGGGCCTCTCCTAGGTCGACTCGGCCTTATACAGTTACGTGGAGCTGTTTGTAAACGTCGGCACTGAAAGAGGGCTAGGCATGATGGTGGCCACATCATCGTACTCGTGCACCGTGTCGGCCACAATTGGTTCTCGATAACAGCACTTGCATCAAAGCAGTATTGTAAGGCCAACTGGGCGATCTTGGCGTTGTACGGCAAGCCCTCGCTTAACAGTGTTCACACGTGCTTTCATGATAACACCATTCTTCCGTGACAACACTTTTCGCACGTGTAACACGCTCGTTATAACGTTTCTGAGTGGTCAATGACAAACCACTTTTTTGAGCTGCATGGCTGAGCGTTGCGATCCGGAATGATACAGCAACATGGCGGTGTAACCTCAAGTTAATTGTCCCGGCATCTCACTGTGTGTGCGTACACCGAATCTTGTCAAACTTTATCGTAACAATATTTATGGGGAAACAGATTTCGCTAAACGCGCCACTTTTCAAGCAACACGTCTCCCGCGTTAAACCCAGGAATGACTTGTGTGCTTGTTTGCGTGCTGGTGAGCAGATCAACGAGGCGTTTGCGCCGCAGTACCTGTCCTGTGCCAAGGAGCTTGGGCTGGACCCTGCGAAGAGCAACGTCAATGGTGGTGCCATCGCACTGGGTCACCCGCTGGGGGCGTCGGGCACACGCATCACGGCCAACCTGGTGCACGAGCTCAGGTACAGCTCTCTTGCACCCCCTCGCCCCCCATGTAGGAGGCAGTACATCAAGTTGGTTGCTTACTTCTGCATATATTACAGTTTGTGTCGTTGGAATTTGCGGGATTTTCTGGGCGCTCTCGTCTCAGGACATGACACCGATAATACAATTGGTATAAAATGGGAGTTATTTTAATTTTCACTGTACCCCCTCCTCTGCCCCCCCCCCCCATCCCAAGGCGACGCGGTGGCAAGTATGCTGTCGGGTCTGCGTGCATCGGAGGTGGCCAGGGCATCGCGATTGTGCTGCAGAATGTCAGCTGAAGCGAGCCTGGATCAACAGGTGTTGCGACAAGCTGGGCTAAGCCAGTCTATTAAGTGGGCCTCTCCAAGAAATGGAGATTAAAAGAAAAGTGAAAACCATAAAACAATATAAATTTGGCCCACCTGAGTAGTAAATGGGGTTATCTGTTCACGTGGGAAATAATGTGCCTTCATTGGGTTAAACTGTATAGCTGCAACTGTGACACAAGTTATCCAAAAACTGCTTTGTACATGTTTTCACATGTTTTCACTCATACATAGCTTGATATTCGTATGTACATATATACGTAACATGTAATGTACTCTCTACATGCATCCATTCACCATATACTCCAACTATGCCAAGAAATCTTGAGTACATTTAAAGGGCTGTTTTTTTTAAAGGAGCTTAAATGATATTTTTGGCAAATAGGGTGCAACTTAATATTGTGCTGCTTGTACGGGAAGTTGAAGGCCAAGCATCTTTTGGAAATAAACAACTTTTATTGCAAATGTTGCAGTGTGATTGGCTCCGAGTGAAGTGGGCGAGCGATGCGTCCAACCCAGGGTTTCATTTCTCACCGATTATGTTCTGCGTTGCTGGTGTACTGCGGTGGATGGCACATGCCAAGTAGCCACAATCATAGCAAGAAGTATACTGGATGTGGTTTAACGGGTGCAGAAATATTTTGTGCGTCGCCCACATGGACAGCACCAGGTAAAATTAGGGTCCGCACCAACCAGTGGTCATTTATTAATTGAATTGCACTCGGGAATTCCCGATGATTGAATGCGACACGTTTGCTTCCGGTTAATTTCTGCTCAAATACCCAGAATTGTGTATGTGAAGGAAACATTTTGTAGAGATGTATGCGTGGCAATTAAAGATCAGACATCACGATTTGGCACACGATCGCTGTCCGATCTCCAACCGCAAAATGTTTACGCACACAAAGGAACGAGTTCTATTTTAACAGGTGGAGTGGCACAGCAGGGTTGGCATCAGCCCTGGAGCAAGAAATGAAATGGGATTCCCCCTCCAAGCTGTCCAATTTCTCCACCTGTCTCTGTAGCGTGGGTCCATCTGGCCTGTGAGCCCTGGTGCAGTCGCACGGCGCGCACACTCGATAGCTACACTGAACAGATGGTCTTCCACCATGCACAGTGTGTGTGAGCTTAGCAGTCGGGGTTTGTGAGCTTGGCAGTATGGGACCTTGTTTCCCTGCATGCTACAACGTTCACCCTGATGCACTTCATCGCTGCTGAGGCAACTGCCTTCATCTACAAATAGCCTTTCCCTGGCATATTTCCACCGGCCTCTCATGCCAGCTTGCCACAACCACGTGCCACCATGGGGTTGCTACCGTCGCCCTGTGAGCTACATTTAGCGGCCAAACTATATTTAACGAGTTTTGGTTTAAAGATTGCAGATATGGTGGTTAACTAATAAGTTTTAAAAACGCTACACGTTTACTCAAGCTGTTGGCGTCCTCTGGTCTAACACGGTTTGAGACTAGGCTCAAAAGAAAGCTGTCTCTGGTGTGGACTAATCAGTTTCAAAGACAATACATATATGATCAGATTATGTTTTTTTTTGCATTCTAACCACAAGTATTGTGGTTAATGCAGACAGGATTCCTTGTAAAAGGTTTCAGTTTTGTTGCCAGAAAAAAGGGGAAAACCTCTATAAAGTGTGGAGTGGGTTAAAGCGATATGAGTGAATATACAGTATATAAGGAGACTAACAGGGAACAATGCTGATGTTAAACCAAAATAAATTAAGTGTAAATGGGCAGGACGCATCACGAGAGCAGACGAGAAGGTGGGAGACAAAATGAAATAACTCTTGTGGCACCTACTGGGAATGAGCAACGAAGGGATGAATGGGAGAAAATGAGACGTAGCATTTCCCCATCAATGAGAAGTTATAGGCCGACAACAACAACAAGATCTACGCCGCACACCAAAGCTGTTTCCAGCCCAGCCGAGCCCAGCACTGCATCCCATCGCCCTCCCACGCCTCCCTCCCTCCCAACAACCCCAACCCCACTCCCCGAAACCCACAAGCCCCGACCGTCCACGCCCGAGTGCGTGAATTGCCCAGGGCTTTTTTTTCCGCTGGAGGGAGTGGCGGTGGTAGGAGCCGTGTGGACTGTGTTATCCCGTACGAACCCGGGCCGCTTGCTGCTGATGATGCTGCTGCTGCTGCCGATGATGATGCTGATGCCATGGAGCTTGCTTTTGCTTCTGCCCTGCGTCCTGAAGACTGAAGGTAGTGGCGGCGTGGAGCCCACATCATTGTAATTCCTGTGCTGTATTGCTGTGCTCGTGCGGCAACATAGCCGCTTTTGCTGTCGCGCTGTATAGACGGACACGGTTTTGCAAGTGCATTGCTTTTCAGGCAGCACAGCTGTCTGTTAAACCCTGTGTGCGTGTGCTTATTGTGAGAGTACCCTTTCGTAATAGTGCATTGCAGTAGGTTTAAACTGTATTGTTCAGTGTTTGATAGACATGTAATAGATTGACAGCCGACCCGATGCTTGCTGAAACCGATACCGCTAAATAATATTGATCTGAAAAGCAAATAGGCCAATGAACTAAACATGTATTTTACTTGTGTATAGACCCACAAATGGGATGCTTATATTTGTAATAATTTGACTTTTCTGCTTCGGGGTAGAAGTGTGTCATATATTTGATTTATAATTCATATGTTTCATTAAATAAAACGTGATAAGTGAATGACAACAATACAATATAACCGTGTAAATCGTGGTCAAGATATTCGCATGCGTATACATTACACACTAAATAAAAAAAGATAGCACTATGTACTCAAGAGTACACGATTGTGGGTTGGGCTTAGGTCCAGGGGTCGGTAACCAAAATAACAAGAGCCATATTTTCGAATTCTGTAAACCCCCCACCCCCTCTATTTCAAGATCCGCAATGCATGGGCATACGAGATGGTCCTTTATAAATAATGTCACGAAACGGTGCTTAAAGGGCCGCATGTCTGTGGTAAACTGGACTTCCATGGTAAACTGTACTCCCATGGCCAAAGAGCCTGTATAGGCAACGACCCTCTGATAGATATGGGTCCATCCAGTTCGAGGCAAAACTGTATAATACAGAAGACATCATCGGCTTATAATTGTGGGGAAAGATAAGAAATAAAGCATACCATACCCATCCTTCACATACATCACTTTAGGAGGTGGCTCATTGCGGATTATGAATTATTTACATAATAGTCCAGTCCACTCTACACACGCACTCAATTCCCTGTTCCCAGAATGCAGAAAATTCACTTGGGAGTGCAAGGGATCTTGATGGCAATGATGCTGCTGCTGCTTTGCTGCCTGATGTTGAGAATGACGATGGGAACTCGGGCTTGTGAAATAACACACGTGCACACACGCAATCGGCTCGTGTTATTAATGTAATGGCCCTGAACTAATAAACAAATGGGTTTCCTATCGGGAGTTGCGCAGGGCCTGACTGGCTGTACCTGTAAAGCACTTATCGATGCAGTGGTTTGGAGTGGTGAGATGGAATGCAATTGTGGAGTCAAGCCCCCCATTGGCATAATAATCCGGAGCGCCCCCCCCTACCACCTCGCAGACAATCCCACTCGACTGTTGAATTCTTGAAATGAAATCGTCAAGTCGCACAATGTTGATACAAAAGAAATCGACCAATTCTGTTGGAAGCATCTGAGCCCTCCCCAACACACGCGGAGTTGAGAGCGAGAGCAGAAATGCACGATATGCAGAAGCATTGCGTGTGTTGGTCCCTTACTCACTCTTTGAGCGTTTAATGTTTGTTTAAAGTTTGCTTATACATTAACACTGCGGCTTGTCACCCCCCTAAACCTCACACTCTGCGTTTTTCAACTGGGCCCCCCCCCCTCCTTTAAAGTGAGTTCTGCAAGTGCGTAGTGTTTGCGAGTGAGTGGTGAGCACAGGACACAAGTGCAGTTGTGGGGGAATCAAATCTGAAATGTTGAACAAAAATAAATGGTGGAAAACTGTGGAGCGTGTGTGTATGTGTGTGGTCGACTCAGCCTCAAATGAGTACCTGGTGAGGTGTGTAAACATTGCCACTGGGGAGACAAAGGCGGCCGGGCGTGGTGCTGGCCACCCACCCCCCCTCTTGTGCCGTGCTCGCTAACAGCACTTACCCCGAAAGTATGTTAAGGCGATACGGATGATCTTTGTCTTGTGTTTATACATAGAGTATAACTGTGGAATTAATTTTAAATCCAATTGTTTAAATGTAAAACACACAACCCACAATAATTGTAAATGTTGCGAGTTTACTCTACAACACACCAGTGTGCTGTACTTGTAAAGAATTAACTAAATGTCTATTGGTGGCGGTTTTAACGACACATTTATATTTTTTATTTAAAGCTTTCGTGACTGCAGGGATTCATATTCTTGGTTCTTTCGGAAAAGTCACGTACTGTATAAGGGAAATAATAAAATAACAAATATATAAAATAATACAATTCTCACGTTTCGTTAGCAACACAAATCAATCATCATCAGGTGTGAAATCCACAGCAAGAAACACAAAACAAAAATATTTATTTTCTTTTTCAAAATTTCTTGCTGTGGATTTCACACCTGATGATGATTGATTTGTGTTTCAGTCGAAACGTCGTGATAATTGTTTTATTGTTTAAATGTGTATTATTTTATTATTTCCCTTCTACGTGACTTTACCTAAAGAACCAAGAATATGAATCCCTGCAGTCACGAAAGCTTTAAATCTAAATTTAAACTCATACCAGTCAACCCCGTATAAGTGCCCTACCTCATTACAGACCAATTCAGACCTTATTGGTGACCCCGTGCCCTTACAAATCTCAACGTTCATCCTACAAAGTTCACATCACAAGGCAGAAACATAAACAAATAGACAAAACATTTTTCTCCCCGTATTGAAACGGCTGTACGTCACATGGACCTGAAAACTCAATTTTTATGTACAAGAATTCAGGGTAAAATGTGTAGGTTGACACGGTGTGTAAAACGATGGCTTAGAAAACATAAAATTTTAACTCCTTTGAGTAAGAAATTAACAGACACTAACATTGAGGAAAGTGATTTTCTTTCAAACACTTGTTGACCATTCCTAATGCCATGTTAGAAAAGTCAAGTGTACATATTCACCAACATTTACACGAGGCACTTTTTAAAAATAAAGCCTTAACATAATTGTTTCTTACCTTGTCTTCGTTCTTCTTCTTCTGCTCACAATAAACTCTCATCGAATTATTTCCACTCCGTTTCACAGCGGAGACATCGCTGTTTAAATTAGTTATATTTCGATTTAAAGCTTTCGTGACTGCAGGGATTCATCTTCTTGGTTCTTTCGGTAAAGTCATGTAGAAGGGAAGTAATAAAATAATAAAAATAAAACATAATAAAACAATTCTCACGACGTTTCGGCCACAACGCAAGCAGCCGTCCTCAGGTGAAAACCAGGTCCGTCGAGGCGACAGAGTCTGAATGAAACAGCACACGAGCTTGGAGTATATATATATAAGCTGGGCGCATTGACAAAGGAATTTGCATATCAAAAGGAATTTAGCATATTTATGGGAAATGCAGGAATGTGATGCATATGCAGTACTAAACACATTCCTGCATTTCCCATAAATATGCTAAATTCCTTTTGATATGCAAATTCCTTTGTCAATGCGCCCAGCTTATATATATGCTCCAAGCCCGTGTGCTGTTTCATTCAGACTCTGTCGCCTCGACGGACCTGGTTTTCACCTGAGGACGGCTGCTTGCGTTGTGGCCGAAACGTCGTGAGAATTGTTTTATTATGTTTTATTTTTATTATTTTATTACTTCCCTTCTACGTGACTTTACCGAAAGAACCAAGAAGATAAATTAGTTATGTTTTAAAATGTAGTTTAAAAACATTATACTGGTAGGAACCTCCTGGTTACACCAGCCCACAGGGAGGGGCTGGGTGAGGAGGGGAGGGTGGGTAGGGGCTGGGTGGGAGTGGTGGGGAGGGGCTGGTTGGGGGGGTGGGGCTGGGTGGGGAGGGTGGGTAGGGTGGGGAGGGGCTGGGTGGGAGTGGTGGGGAGGGGCTGGTTGGGGGGGTGGGAGGGGTGGGGCTGGGTGGGGAGGGTGGGTAGGGGCTGGGTGGGAGTGGTGGGGAGGGGCTGGTTGGGGGGGTGGGAGGGGTGGGGCTGGGTGGGGAGGGTGGGTAGGGTGGGGAGGGGCTGGGTGGGAGTGGTGGGGAGGGGCTGGTTGGGGGGGTGGGAGGGGTGGGGCTGGGTGGGGAGGGTGGGTAGGGGCTGGGTGGGAGTGGTGGGGAGGGGCTGGTTGGGGGGGTGGGAGGGGTGGGGCTGGGTGGGTAGGGTGGGTAGGGTGGGGAGGGGCTGGGTGGGAATGGTGGGGAGGGGCTGGTTGGGGGGGGTGGGAGGGGTGGGGCTGGGTGGGGAGGGGCTGGGTGGGGAGGGTGAGGAGGGTGGGGCTGGGTGGGGGATGGGAGGGGTGGGGCTGGGTGGGGAGGGATGGGAGAGGCTGGGTGGGGTGGGGCTTGGGGGTTGGGGCTGGGTGGGGAGGGGCTGGTCACCCCGTGGTGCCCTTATAAAACTCAACGTTTAACCTACTCACGCCGGCTTGTGCCCGCCCTCACAGTCGGCCATATTTGCGGAATACACCACGCCGCCTAAGACCCTGCAGGCCATTGACCGAGCAACCCAACGTGTTCCTACCAGCTCCCTCCGCAGCAGGAATGTGTTTTATCCAGAGTCGCGTTGGTAGATGATGGGTCGTGAAGGTGAAGATTTTGTGCCGTAAATCTATCGCTGGTTGGCCTTATGTAGACGTCGCAAACGTGCGTCGCAAATCGTCTTGTCGTAAAACGGTTGTAACGATTCCCCAAACTTTCAATAATAAATTTCGCTCGCATTTAAAAATACGTTAAAATCAATACTTAGTTGAATACGAACGTCTCGCGAATGTTATGCGCTTTTAATTTTTTGGTTTTAAAAAAAATCCGCACACAGTCACAGATAACTCACACTTGCTCCCGATTGGCTGCTATTCGAATTTCCCGCCAAGCGCTGGACCAATTCAACAGGCTCACATCGGCCGGGGTTGGGCAAATTGTCGAGTTCATGGGTTCAGCTTCTAATGTGTAATGCGAAATGTAAAGTCGACCTGCCTTCTGCTTATTCGTTGTGGGAAATATAAATACACTCAATCTTGATTTGAAATTTTGGTGACTTTACCGAAATAACTAAAAAGTATAAATACACTCGTTGATTTACCTTGTGCTTCTATGTATATATATAGAGTTGTATAGATATAAGGGTGTGTTAAATGTCACCTTTCCAGAACATCGTTATAGTTTACATTATTCACTCGGCCACGGTTTACACACAATACGTGTACATACCTATTCTTTGGTTCTTTCGGTAAAGTCACGTAGATAGAAATTTAAATTAAATTAAAAATAAAAGCAAAAAACTCACGACGTCGCAACACAAGCGGAGAGAAAAAAAAAAGACCGCTTGTGTTGCGATCGAAACGTCGTGGGTTTTTTTGCTTTTATTTTTCATTTTATTTTCAATTAAATTGTACTTTTATTTTTTGTCCACGTGACTTTACCCAAAGAACCAAAGAATATGAATTCCTGCAGTCACGAAAGTGTACATAGCTGCCAACCCCTTATCAGTGCCTACTTTATTACGGACCAATTCAGACCTTACTGGTCACCCCGTGCCCCTATAAATATCAACGTTCATCCTACAAAGTCCCATCACAAGGAGAAACACAAATAGACAAAAATTACCGGTTTTGTTGCCCGTATTGAAACGGTTATATGCCGCATGGACCTGAAAACTCAATTTCCCTGTACTATACAAGAATACGGGATAAACCGTATGGGTTGACAGATATGCGTGTATCATCATAAGTCATTGCCTCTATGCCAATGTTCTTAATTGCAAGGCCCCTGGTGGCCTTTAGTGTGGCCCCTGACGTGCGGCCCCTGTGCTGTCAAGCCCCAATGGTTTAAAATGTGTGGCGGCCCTCCTCACACTGATGATGTCTTATCGGCGAAATTGGCCCCCCGTCTGAAAATCAGGAAAGAACACTGCCAATGTAGTGCTCGATAAAGGCACCTCCTCTATCCCTCATGATCCATCGCTGCGACCATCCATATCACTCGTGCACATCGACTGATCTCATAGCTCCATCTCCGCGATGGTCACGTTATCTCCTTTAGCTTCCATTTCCATGACTGGTCTCGTCCATCACCCATCATGCCGTCCAACCATGCGTTCTTGCCCACAGAGCCGTGCCAAGGGTACACAGCGAATCGAGGCGACTGCCCCGGGCCCCGCACTTGAGGGGGGGGCGCTTAAACGTCACGGTGTAAGATGAAATACACGGGTTTTCTTTTGCCCCGGGCCCCGCAACCCCACCCCCGATTATGGACGTCCCTGACCGCCCAAGCCAATTCACTTGTCTTGCCAGCGTGCATCTAAAACGTGATTACAATTCACGTTGCCTCTTACAACGGGAGGAGGCCGGGGGGGAAACATCGTTCCGAGTGCTTAGGGAATTCTGTCGGTCTCCTTGCAACGTCGCCTGTGCGCCAGCGACGTGGGATATTTTTAAAGTGGGACAGTCAATCTGGGCCGCCAACATGGCTATATATAGGGGTGGGGGGGGGGGAGCAATGGGTGATGTGCGATGGTCGGTTGTTGGTCCCTCCTATATTTAGGGGATGGATGTGGCAGGTTGACATTCAGGGGACAACTGCACTGCTGCAACAGGCGTGGTCGCTCGCTCGATCACTCCCCCCCACCCACTCCCAAAGTCACAGGCATATCTTTTACAGGGGAGATGACTTTGCTTGCTGATATGCACTGATAAAACCAGAGCTCCTCTAATCTTCTGTTTTGTTCTGATGGTCCAACATCGTAAAAAATGTAACGTCTGCTTTTAGGCCAGAGTTTGGCCAAAAAACGTCGTTGCGGGTCACAATTTGGACCACGGGCCTCCAGTTAAGACTACGTTGGTGTAGACCATTGGCAAACACTTACCTGGCACACGAAAGGCAAGTGCAACCCAGCACAGAAAGTCCGTGGTTTGCAGGATCAATAGCAAAACAGTAATGATTCAAGGCCCCTTTTGCCAATCCACTGCTGGATGAAGCTCTTGCCACGCCAGTCGTTCATCAGGGGGTTTGTTCGACCATATTTCACGCTGGATCAGTGCCGGTCGCACGGTAGTTGGGGATATCGCTCGCCACCACGTATGGTAGCCGTGGCAGGTACAATCAAACTCTGGTCGTCAGATCCATAGCGCACTGCACTAACCACTGTGCCACTTCCCTCCACGAGGCTGAGACTTAACCCAGCAGCGGGAATTTGTTGCACGCAGCGCATGTGGCTTTGCCCTGACTCTTGTTCCATAGGCAACGTCACGGGGTAATGTTCTCCACTGAGTTTGGAGGGATTCCCACAACTCTCTCATCAGGACAAGGGAGGGTGGATAGCAGCAGCAGAAGCAGCAACAGCAGCACTCATCTGTGCCTGCCTTTCTGATACTAATACTAAGATATTGCCACCAAGTGCTTCGGATTTGTATTTAATTCGCACAGCAATCGAGGTCTGTAATCTTCATTTTTAAATCTCAGTGGACGCCACCTATGGGCGTGACAATGAGCTTGACTTTGGATGCCCCCCTCCCAGCCAGTGCGTGGTGAGTGATTGGTAGGATTGTTGTTGCTGCTGCTGCAAGGGCAGAGCGTGCCAAATTGATCAAGCATCGTGGGTTGGGATGCGGGGGACGAGCGGGCATGGGGTGTGGTTTGTGGGAGGCTTAGCGAATGCTGACACGACGGTTAGTGATCGCTTTGGTGCACAATGGGCAGCGCAGCTGACATCTGCTGTCCCTCAAGCCACGAGCTTTGTAGACAGTAAGAGCGGGGTGCTGGTCAGCGGTCCACATAAGCTGCGTTGTTGGTGGAGTTTTACGCATTTCAAAATATGAGCTGCGCACGTGTGCATGTTGAACTTCGTTCGCACCCTACTTAGCCGACCGTGCTAATCGGAGGTGCGGGGAAAGGACAACAAACTAAACACAAAGCAGTTTTAAAGAAATACGTTTTCACATCTAGATTTAAAAGTTCATAGCTCCAGTGGCTTCCTAATATAAATGAAAGGCCTTTTATAAATGTTTTGTTGTTGTAATTTTTCCCCAACTTCACCCCGATTGTGTTAAAACTGAAAAAAGTTTGCGCGCGCAAAAATTGAAACAACCACGGAGAGATGAAGGCATCCGTGGAGTGACATTGAGCGAAGAGGAGCACGGTTCGATCTTCTGGCACGGGAACATTTTTCCACTGCGTGTCGCTTGTCGCGGTCGTGTGCTGTATGGCCCTGTGGTGTACGCTGGGGTCGCGTCTCACGTGTTGTTCGGCACGAGGTCCCACGTCTCGTTTCACGTCCTGGGAGCTGACACCCCCCCACACACACACGCCTCCTATCCGCCGAGAAGTAGAAATGGTCACACCGCAGTCCATCAATAACACAGGCAGCTTATGGTGGGGTAAAATGTGAGTACTCTGACATGGCCCACGTGGAAGGGTAGGCCAAATACAAACTAGAAGGGCTTTCTGGAGCTCTCCCTCTACTGGGGGCCTTCCGCCAGCAGTGGCATGAATAGGAAATTGCAAGGCTGCACCTCTACTGCTCACCCTTTACTATCATCTTATTCGGATTAAGGCAGACTTTTGTCTTGGCCAGCAAATGTTTTTGATTTAAAGCGTTCGTGACTGCAGGGATTCATATTCTGGTTCAGGGTGCATCCTATAATCTGGTAGGTGTATGTGACTCGATTTGTATAATCTGGTAGGTGTGTGTGACTAGATTTGTATAATCTGGTAGGTGTGTGACTAGATTTGTATAATTTGCTAGGTGTGTGTGACTCGATCTGTATAACTATATTGACTACGTTTGGAGAGCGTTTTACTTTCCAGCACGTCTTATAAACCAGATACCACGAATATGATATTACTACAACTACTACTCTTTGGCGTGTAGCCTCTCAGCTGGTTCCTACATAGGGGGCAAAAATAAAATACGTTTAAAAACAAACACAACCTGAAGTTATTATCTTGCTCCCCGACCCATCCCATCCCCGCTCCTAGCCTCCTATGGGAACCGCCTGAATCGCTTCATCCGACACTACGAGGGACTCAGCTACAGCACGGAGGAGCTACATGCCAAGCACACGCGTGCCCGTCGCGCTATCTCCCCTCTCCAGCAGGAGCTGGCACTCACCTTTCAGGCGCACGGCAGGTGAGGGTCGGTGGTGCAGGTGAGGGTCTAGGGGGCGGGTGGGGGTCTAGGGGGCGGGTGGGGGTCTAGGGGGCGGGTGGGGGTCTACGGGGCGGGTGGGGGTCTACGGGGGGGGTGGGGGTCTATGGGGCGGGTGGGGGTCTACGGGGGCGGGTGGGGGTCTACGGGGCGGGGGTCGAGGGGGCAGGTGGGGGTCTAGGGGGCGGGTGGGGGTCTACGGGGGGGGGGGGTGGGGGTCAACGGGCGGGTGGGGGTGTACTAGGCGGGTGGGGGTCTAGGGGGCGGGTGGGGGTCTACGGGGGGGGTGGGGGTCAACGGGCGGGTGGGGGTGTACTAGGCGGGTGGGGGTCTAGGGGGCGGGTGGGGGTCTAGGGGGCGGGTGAGGGTCTACGGGGGGGGTGGGGGTCAACGGGCGGGTGGGGGTGTACTAGGCGGGTGGGGGTCTAGGGGGCGGGTGGGGGTCTAGGGGGCGGGTGAGGGTCTACGGGGGGGGTGGGGGTGTACGGGGCAGGTGGGGGTCCACGGGGTGGGTGGGGGTCTACGGGGGGGGGGGTGGGGGTCAACGGGCGGGTGGGGGTGTACTAGGCGGGTGGGGGTCTAGGGGGCGGGTGGGGGTCTAGGGGGCGGGTGGGGGTCTAGGGGGCGGGTGAGGGTCTAAATCTGCGTGGTGTTCTCATCTAAGATAGTCGCTCGATGTGTAGCGGGTCACTTTGATGAATCTTGTCGTTAGGGGAACCCAATAATAATGTATCGAAGAAACTTGGAAGCATTGGCGATCTTGGCGACACCGTTGCCGAGTGAGGAGCATGTGCGGCGTCTTCAGGGGAGCGGTAGTGTAGCGGCTAGCGCACTGCACTACGAACCCGGCGACCGGGAGTTCAATCCCCGCTCACGACCAATACCAGTGGCGAACATTTGAACCGATGCTGGGCCTCCTCTAGGTCGACTCATCATTAAATGATGACCCGGTGCGGTGTATAAACATCAGCACTGGGGAGACAAAGGTGGCTGAGCTTGGTGTTAGGCTGCCCACCCCTTTGTGCGCCGTTCCGGCCTTCTTCGTGGGTGCTCGCTAACCGCACTTGCCCTGTCTGGGGGATCTTTGTCTTTGGTGTTTTTAGGCACTTTGATCTGCGCATGAGGAGGGACACCCGGGTATTCAGCGATGACTTCAAGGTGCAGACATCCCAGGGTCTGGAGGAAGCCGACACCTCGCACATCTACACGGGCAGCCTGCACGGTGAGGCATGGGAGGCACTGCCTCTTCACGTGGGAGGGAGCGGTGGGCGGGTGGGTGGGGGGTACAGCGGAATGACGTCACAAAGTGGGGCACGAGGAGCCAAGGGGCGGTGTGGCAGGCGTGGGTTTTTGCTTGTCATTTTTCCCGAATGCCATGTCCCGATTGTGCCATCGATGTAAAGTCACCAGACGCACTATGTCACAAAACAGACCCCAATCCTGTGTGCCAGAGAACGCCCCGTGGATGTAGATGTCACAGAGCTACCTCTGGCAGTCCTTATTCAAGAAAAGGGGCATCACTTTCCCGCCTGCTCGGCATGTGACAGGAATGTCGTCGAATGATAGCCAATTCATTATTTTAACTCTCAGAGGTGGAATTTAGCCAAATTCAGCGCAGAACCAAATTCATTGTGATCAGGGTTTTTTGTTGTTGTTGTTGTGCAATAATTGTTGACCAGTCTGAGCCCATCAGCTCGCCACACTTGAGAATCCGGTTGAATCGCCATGGGCTGAGTCTATGATTTGATCCCAGGATCTCGGCGATGCCAGCTCGGCGCTTTGACCTCTCGGGTTTGCGCTGTCAACATGCGCCGATATCTCTCTCTCTCTCTGCGCGCGCGGGCAGGGGAGAAGGGCAGCCTCTGCCACGGAGCGGTGATGGACGGACGCTTCGAGGGCTTTATCGGTACGAGCAGGGGGACCTTCTACGTGGAGCGAGTGGAGCACTACCTTCTCGACATGGGGACTACGTCATCACCGCCAACTCCGACGGGGCCATCGCCATTCCCGGCGACGTCGTCGTCATCGAAGTCACCGCTATCACCGCCACCACTGCCAGCCTTCCACTCCGTCATTTACCATGAGGATGATGTAGGTGGGTGAGTAGGTGGTGGAGCAGTTAGCTTGCTGCCCTTTGAACCTGGCGACCCGAGTTCGATTCCCGTTCACGGCCACCAACTCCAGTGACAATTATCTGAAGCTGTCCTGGGCCTACCGTAGGTTGGGGTCAGCCTCAAATGAGTACTTGGTGTGGTGTATAAAACATCGCCACTCGGGAGATGAAGCGGCCGGGCGTGGTGCTGGCCACCCACTCCCTCGTGTGCCGTGCCGGACCTTCATAGGTGCTACTCGCTAACAGCACTTGCCCGACAGTATATGGGGCATCTTTGTCTTTGCAGTGTTGGGTGCTTGATAGACATGTAGGGACGATTTGAAGCTTTCGTGACTGCAAGGATTCATATTCTTAGGTTTTTTCGGTAAAGTCACGTAGGTAAAACATCAAAATTAATAAAAAATAAAATAAAATAAAGATCACGACGTTTCGGAGGCAACACAAGTCTCCGTCATCAGGGACGAATTGATTAATGGGATAAACTAGAATCCCGTGCTTGTTATATGCGCGGTAGAATAGTGCCAGTAGGAATGGCTTCTTTTCAGTGTGTATATGCTACATGGAGTTTATTCACAAGAAACCAACCCTCCCCTCTCCTGTGCCAAGTTACCCCTGCCGTGAGCGAAGGGATGTTTCAGACCAAAATTGACGACAATCTCACTGCTGTATTCGAAATGTCTCTCTTGTCAATATGTTGGGCTTTCCCGGCTCGAGTCATGAACACTCACACCAATTGCTTGTCTCCGCGTCCCCATGCGTCCCATATTTCTGTGTTCCTTTGTCCCCACATCCTCATGTTTCCATGCACGCCCCCCCCCCCCCCCCGTGTGTCCACATAACTCCATGCCTCCGGAAGGGGGGGTTCATATCCTCATGCCCCCCCCCCATATTCCTATGTCCCATATCTCCATGCCCCATGTTCCCATGCCCCATATTCCTATGCCCCCCCCCCCCCAATGAATGCCTCCGTGTTCCCGTGTGACCACGTCGCCCGCGTTCCCATTGCCGCCGCGTCCCCGTCTCTCTCCCCCCACCCCCCCCCACCAAAACTCTGGCGCTGCTGCTGCAGAGTTCCCGCACAAGTACGGGCCGCGAGCGGGCTGTGCTCACGACGATGTGCTCGAGCGCATGCGGAGGTTCCAGGAGTCGGCCGTGGAGTCCGACTCGGCCGACTCGGCTCCGGGCGATGGAGCGGGAGACGGGCCGGCGGCGGAGCGTGGCAAGCGGGCAGCGACGTCCTCGGCCCCCCGGAACACGTGCCCTCTCTACATCCAGGCCGACCACACCTACTACGCCAAGTACGAGAACAAGGAGGCCGTCCTCGCACAGGTAACCAGAGGTCGCAAACGGGTTTTGATTCCTTACCCGTACCCGTACCCGGCCGCACCAGGGTCGCAAACGGGTACCCGTACCCTACCCATACCCGGCCGGGTACGGGTATCGGGTACCTGATTGCGACCTCTAGGATGAAGCCATGTTGCAGGCGCGGGTGGATTGATTCTAGGAACTTGAATTGTGAGAAGAGACAAGACGTTGGGAAATGAGTGACAAACGGTGACTCACCAGTGACTCACGGCCTACCCGTACCCGGCCGCACCAGGGTCGCAAACGGGTACCCGTACCCGGCCGGGTACAGGGTAGCCGGGTATCGGGTAGGGTACGGGTATCGGGTACCCGGTTGCGACCTCTGCAGGTAACCCACCGTTGTTGTTATTTGCTTTTTGATTCAGCGATTTCTAACCCAGGAAGGCTTCATTATTTACACTTGAGTCTCAAGATTCTTATTTGAGGATTCAAGATGACCCTTGCCAAGTGTTTGCAGCAGGGGGCGATGTCGCTGCTGCTGCTGTGTGTCATGCCAACTGAGTAATTTGTGGGTACAAGTAATACCCTTATTTACATCTCCTCCTCGTTTTTGTAGTTTTGCAAATACGTCGTCGCTTTGTGAACACCGCGACTCGATTTGCGTCAGGCAAAACCCCACGCTTACGTCGCTGACAGCGTCGTCCGTCCTTTTTTCGTTATCCGTCGCCTCTCAGCCTCCGCCGCCACCGACTCCGCTGTAAATCGCTTCGATGTTACGCAGTGGCGTAGCTAGGATATTTTGCGCCCGGGGACGAACTATAAAATTGGCGCCTCCCCCCCCCCGTTTAATCACATACCAAAATGTAATTACATGACATGTAGGCTGTGTGTGGCGGGATATATAAACTTTTAGGTTGAGGTGTAGATTTGTGCAGTAGTTTCAGGCTGCCGCGCCCGCCGCAATAAGTTATAATGTGACGTTGTAAGCCTCATTTTGGCGCCCCTTTACCTTGGCGCCCGGGGACACATGTACCCCCCTGCCCCCCCCTAGCTACGCCTCTGATGTTACGTCGTTTCGGTATTCGTCATCGCAACTTTCAGGAATGAATCCCCGACATAACCCGGGGGGTATTACTGCACTGTCATTTTTAAGCATTGGGATGTTTTGGCCAACGGCGGTAACATCGTTACGGATTGTTTTTCTTTGGGAAGAAACCGAAGAACCCGGAGGAATCCTATGCAGGACATGGGGAGAAAACACGCATATAATTTGCAGAAAGGCACCCGAGTCGGGAATTGAACCCAAGTGTTACATCGCCACCACATTGTTAACCTTCTGCTTCATAGTGGACGTTAAAGATCCCATGACGTAACTTGCCAGCGTAGGCCATTCTGTGCTGGCTGCCCATCGGTCAAGGATGGTCAGGGCATTGTGCGGCGCTTTCAGATGCGCTTTTGCGGCCATCTGATATTAGGAAGTCACTGGAGTTATGCACTTTTAATTTTTTTTTGAAAACTAATTTCTTTGGAACTGCTTTTTTGTCTTGATTTAAAGCTTTCGTGACTGCAGGAATCCATATTCTTTGGTTATTTTCCCCGCACCTCCGATTAGCACGGTTGGCTACATACGGTGCGAAAGAAGTTCAACATACGTACATTTATCAGGGTTCAAATTCGCCAAAATTGAAAATGACCCACAAATGCTGCGTAGCAATCATCACTCCGTACTGGCAGACTAATGGCTCAGGGTCATTCTTGTAAATGGGACTCATCTTAGTCTCTTTGATGTCTCCCCTGGGTCAATAAAATAATCTGGATGAGGGCAGTTTACTGAGATGGCTATTGGAGTAGCACCCAGAAATTGGTCAACCAAAGGGGCCACGGAGGGTAGCAAGATGTACATTTTTGGTTCTTTCGGTAAAGTCACGTAGAAGGGAAATAATGAAATAATACAAATATAAAACATGATGATTGCTTGTGTTGCAGTCGAAACGTCGTGAGAATTTTTATTGTTTTATATTTGTATTATTTTATTATTTCCCTTCTACGTGACTTTACCGAAAGAACCAAGAATATGAATCCCTGCAGTCACGAAAGCTTTAAATCAAAATTTAAGATGTTAATTATTAAAACAAAAAAATTGACAAATCAAAATAATAAAATTACTTAATATAAATTAAAGTAAAAAATAATCAAGTTAAATTAACAACTTAATTCCTTCTTGAAATGAAGAAGATTGTGATGACGGTAGAATGTTTTGTGAAGGGACACTTTAAGAAGACTTGCGTTTGGAAAAACAGACACGGGCTGTTTATTCACAGGGTTATATTATCAGATGACAATAATAATCAACCAAATATTGAAACATCATATATCAAAGTAATTAAGGCAGACTAAAATAAATAAAAAAAATTCAACTTCAATTACATCAAAATAAATCAACGTCATGCGGTGTTTTCCTTCAGTGATTATAATTCACGAGTTGTCCATTTGCAGTTAAATCTTCCCCGATGTTGTTCTTCGTCTCATTCCATCGCTAGCGCCATGGTTACAGTTGCCATGAACTTCACTCATCGATGGATTCCTCCGCACGCATTGAGGTCTCGGTCATGACTCAAAACGCATCTCTCTACTCTTGCACACAACAACTAAAACTCGAAGCCACAACTGGCTTTTATATTGATGTTTTTTTTAATTTTGTTGACGTGGTGACGGCGCTTTTTGAGTGGCAGACTTGTGCCAAAAATGCGCCCGCTTGTTCCAGAATGTTTTTGTTACTTGACTAAGTCTACCGAACTGACCGTTTTGTCTCATCCGCACTGTGTTCAACCACCATAAAAAAGACAAAGACTCCCCGTATAGTCTTTACACACTATTGGGGGCAAGTGTTGTTGAGCAAGCACCTATGACGGCCAGAATGACACACGAGGGGGGTGGGTTGCCTGCATCAAGGCCGGCCGCCTTTGTCTCCCCAGTGTCGATGTTTACTCCACATGGCACCAGGTACTCACTTGAGGCTGAGTTGACCTACGGGAGGCTCAGGACCGGTTCAGATAATCGTCACTGGTGTTTTCCGTGAGCAGGGTATCGAAACTCGGGTACGCCGGGTTTGTAGCGCAGTGCGTGCTAACCGCTGCACCACCGCTCCCCATTCAGCCCGCAACACTGCAGGTCACAACACTTCTCTCTTCCTGGGTTGCGACATCTCACGGGGGGGGCTGCTCACAACCCGGCATCTCCGTGGGTACCGGTTCAGGGTCTCTGACATAGCAACACCGCAGGGATCAAGCCACCGGGCCATCTCATGCATCTGCCTATTTACGATGCGTGGTTGCGTGCGTGTGCGCGCGCGCGGTGCTGATGCTCTGGTTGCGAATCGATGTTCCTTTGTTCGCTCGCAGAAATTTTAATTCAGATGCAAATTTCCGCCTGAATGACCTCCGACGAGCCTTTGTGTTGGCGTGACCAATGCTGAATGATTGTTGGCGTGGGTTTTTTTTTTATCAGCATGTTAGCCGAGCCGTGTAGCAGCGCATATACAGGCGAAAGACTCCAATGCCCTTAGCTTTCCGCTAAAATCGCTAAATGTCCTTCCGTCGAACATGAATTTACCTCTCTGTACATTCACAGCACTTGTTTTCCGCACCGTTCTGTACGAATATCTTGATCCCTTGCGCAACCTCCCCCAGTTTATTCAAACAAAAATCCGTATCCATGAACGGATCTGTATGTATTTTGAACTTCTTTCGCACCGTACGTTGCCAATCATGCTAATCAGAGGTGCGGAGGGAAGGACAACAAAATAAAAACACAGAAAGCAGTTCTAAAAAAAATGGTTTTCAATCTTGGTGATTTAAAAGTGTATGGCTCCCACTGGCTTCCTCATATCGGAGGCAAGAGCGTTCCAGACGGCCGCAGAAGCGCATCTAAAAGCGCGGCGACCGCCTTTGTCCGATGGCCAGCCAAAAGTCCCCGCTGCCGTTGCTGCTGCGAGGACGACCGGAGTTGAATCTGCGTTCGCGACGAGCGTTTTGCCATGCAACTCTTCTTCTTTTATACGGATTCATAGAAGCAGGTTAAAGATGTCGTTTTAGATGTTGTTATCCACTCAATTGTCTGTCCACAAGCGGCGTGGATGTCGCCCATTCCTCCTTGATGTCGCCCATTCCTCTCGACAAATGTTTTCGGTGGTTGCGATAATGTTTCGCATTTGAGTGGCCGAGTGTGTGTGTGTGGAAGATTTCCGTGGGGAGCGGTGGTGCAGCGGTTAGCACGCTGCGCTATTAACCTGGCGACCCGAGTTCGATTCCCGTTCACGGCCAACACCGGTGACGATTATCTGAACTGGTCCTGGGCCTCTCCTAGGTCGATTCAGCCTCACATGAGTATCTGGTGAGGTGTGTAAACATCGTCACTAGGGAGACAAAGGCGGCCGGGCGTGGTGTTGGCCACCCACCCCCTCGTGTGCCGTGCCGGCCTTCATAGGTGCTCGCTAACAGCACTTGCCCCAACGGTCTGTTGAAGGCTGTATGGGGGATCTTTGTCTGTATCTTGTCTCACCCCCCCCCCCCCCCTACAACCCCACCCCACCGTCTCGTTTTTTCTCGAGGCAGATTTCCGTGCATGTGGTTGGCATGGAGAGGGTCTATCAGTCGACCAACTTCAACGGCATCAAGGACATCAGCTTCGTGGTGAAGCGCGTGCGGGTGGGTTGGGAGAGGGCGGCGCGTGGCTTCACAACAGCGGTTTGATGACAGACCCCACACCCCTCGGGCTAACGTCACCAACGTTGGGCCGACGTTGGTTCAACGTTGCACGCTAACCGGAACGCCGTATTCACGTGCGTAATGTGCTACTTAATGGGATTCTGCCACGCAATGTATGTTAGTGGTTTTGATCTACATTATAGACTACGTCATGTGTTTCTAAAGCATTTAATGCACATCAATTGCACCTTATGCAGTATATACTATTGTACGTACTCTTTGGTTCTTTCAGTAAAGTCACGTAGGTGAAAATAAAAGAAAGTAAAAAAAAATAGAATAATTTTTTTATTTTCATTTTTACTAAATTAAATGAATTTAACAATTTATTTATACATATATTTTTTTTTCACCTACGTGACTTTGCCAAAAGAATCAAAGAGTATGGATCATTGCAGTCACGAAAACTTCAAATCTAGAACTATTGTACGTAATTAAGTTTGGTGCATTTAACATATATTATGCACGATATATTATGCGCTACATGCGCGGGATAGAGGTTGTGGGCAGTCGAGGGCAGGTGCAGCAAAATCCATGAAATGATGCTCTGCTGTACCTCGCTCTTCTCCTTCAACCCGCACTGACCAGCAACAGGCGGGTCCATCTGTCAGTCATCCCCAACTCAGTCAACCCCACAGTGCGTGGGTTGTCTGTCCCGTGACCTCCTGCCAGCGAAGCCTCAGAGGGCACCAAACCAGGCACAATCACCTCCCCTGAGCACGGTTGGCTGCTACGTACGGTGCGAAAGAATCTTCTTGGTTCTTTCGGTAAAGTCACGTAGAAGGGAAGTAATAAAATAATAAAAATAAAACATAATAAAATAATATAATATAATAAAGAAAGAAGTTCAACATGCACACATACACGGGGGTTTTCTGATCGTACATGACCACGCTGGCCAGATCGGCTTGGTGAATTCAGCCAGCCAGTATATTTCGGGCATTGAGTGTTGTCTTGGTGTGGTCTGGGACTGTTTTTGCTGTTGTTTTACTGCCTTTCCGAAACTTGGGAATTGATGATGCAATTTGAACTGATAAACGTTATTTATTTATTAAAGGGGCACCACAGTGGCTAGGAAATGTTATCTTCCTTGCCTGGTATGCAGGAGGTCGGGGGTTCGATCCTGACCCTGACGTCTGCTGTATATTTCGAGTTTGCATGTTCTCCCTATGGTCGTGTGGATTTTTTGCTCCGGGTCGTCCCGTTTTTCCTTCTACATTTGGAAACATGCGTTGAGACTATTTAGATTATTTTGGTGCTATAAATGTTCAAATGATGGGCGACTGTGTTGAGCAATCATTTGTGGCCAGGCTGCTTCTGAAAAATAAGTAAATACCTTGGGTGGGCTTTGCCTGGTAGGATGGGGATGGTTTAGTTTGATTTGTGTTTGGGTGTTTGGGTGATTTGTTTACCTTTCTCGTACTTTGCGCTACTGCCGTGTCTTTGTACTGTTTGTTGTTGTAACGTTCCTACCCGCCCCTACTGGACTTCTGTGAAAAGGAGCTTCATAGCTCATCAGATTCCTCCTCCAGTATACATAAATATTCTGATTCTGTGCTACGGAAGTGTGTTTTTTCAGTGGTTGCCCAGTCAGGACCAGTTCAGATATTGCTCGTAAGTGCATTGTGGGAAAGCCGACTGCACCTTGCTCTGTAAATTTCAGAAAAGTTAAATTTCGATTTAAAGAAGATGGTTCAGAAAAGTTGTTCCTCTAGCGCCCAACATAAATACATTGTCACTTCATGGGAACTGCTAGATATGGTTGTTTTTGGTGGTGACGGTTGTGGTGATGGTTGTTGTGTTTGTGGCCAGATCAATACGACGGAGGACGCACTCGATGTCAGCAACCCTTTTCGCTCCTCTCGCCTTGGTGTCGAGAAGTTCTTGGATCTCAACTCGGAGCAGAACCACAACGACTTCTGCCTGGCCTACGTCATGGCCGACCGCAATTTCGGAGATGGAGTGCTCGGCTTGGCCTGGGTTGGCTCTCCCACAGGTGGCAGATTCCTCTTTACACGGTGGCGAGATGTTAACTACCTCGCCTGGTATGGAAGAGGTCGTGGGAACGATCCCACCCCTGACTCATGTATATTTGTTGTATTGCAATGTTCACTCTCCGCGGAGTCGTGTGGATTTTTCTCCGGGTCTTCTGGGTTTTCCCTCCACATTTAGAAAATTGCGCTTAGAGTATTTGGTTGCTATAAATGTCCACATGATGAGCCACTTCGTTGAGCTATCATTTGTGGCCAGGTCCTTTCTGAAATAGAGCTGCATAGCACAGTGGGGCCTTACCTGGTAAAGTCAAAATTGACAAAAGTGGTGTTTTGAATGATAAATATAATTTATATTTGCCAAATGGCGCACTTCATTCACAGATCTCGGTGCGCCCACCAATGTATGGACGGGGGCACATAAACTATTCTATTTTAAAAATCAAAATAAAACAACTAAATTAAATCACGACATTTCGGGAGCAACACAAGCATCCGTCATCAGGTGTGACTGCTCCAGAAAAATTACACGTGTCTCTAAATAGCTCTCTTCATATACTACAGTAATTTTGCTGGAGCAGTCACACCTGATGACGGATGCTTGTGTTGCTTCCGAAACGTCGTGATTTAATCTACATCTTTTATGTTTTATTTTATTTTGTTTTCACCTAAGTGACTTTACCAAAAAAACCCAAACAGTACGGATCCTTGCAGTCACGGAAACTTCAAATCTAGAATTTTATTTTATATACAAGTTGTTTAGTTTTAGTTTAGTCTATGGGTGTTTATGCATCTCTATGAGTCTCTATGCATTTCTATGGGTCTCTGAATCTCCATTGGTTTCTATGTATCTCTATGGGTCTCTATGTATCTCCAAGTATATTTATGTGTCTCCGTACGTTTCTTTGCATTTAGAGTATTTGGCTGTTATAAACTTCCACGTGATGATAAGCCACTTCGTTCAGCTATCATTTGTGATAGCCAGGCCGCTTCTGAAAAATAAACGACATAGCTCAGTGGGTCCTCACCTGGTACAACATTTTTTTTATAGTTTAGTCGAACAGAAATCTCGACTGCAGAGGGCGCTCAGGCAACACTGCGTGATGGGACACAGAGCACCCTCGCCTGCGCGCGCATCATCCGAGATTTTGTGCAAAGCTTTGGTGTGCAACGTGCCTAGACAGCCACATATCCTCCTCCGCACACATTGATCATTCTTTACCTTTGGCGTACACACAGCTTGCAATTGTCGATATCACAGAAAATACTTCCGGGAAACCCCTTCACATGGCGTCAGGTCCACCCGGTGAGAGGCGGCACCGTCCCATCTGTCCCGCCGCATGAGAGTAATGCTTCCCGCACGACAAATAAAGTGCAGAAACAAGTTGACTTTATGACTTTGTGTAACAATTGGTGACCGGGCGTAAACCATGAATGCACTTGAAAACAAAGGTTAATCATATCCTAGTCTATGTGAGTCTACGGTTCTCTGTTGTGAGTCTATTTGAGTCGCTGGACCTCTGCGTGAATCTTTTAAGTCACGATGCGTGCCCGTCGGTCTCTTTGATAGTCAGTGGGGAGCGAGTTGAGACCACGTCCTCGCCACAATCGAGGAATCCGTTTAATCAAAGGCAGGGGCTGAAACCTGGATTCAAACCCAGGATTTCTGCTGTGGCGGTTCAGCGCTCTGACCTCCAAGCGACCCGGCCGGCTGGCTGGATGGCCGGCCAGCCGGCCGCCTGCCTGCTTGGTCCTCGTTCGAAGTCTTACGCAAACCTATTCCTTCCCGGCTCAGCGGCGTCGGGCGGCATCTGCGAGAAAAACAAGCTGTTCTCGGACCGGACTCGCAAGTCGCTCAACACGGGCATCGTGACGGTGAACAACTACGGGTCCCACGTGCCCCTCAAGGTGTCGATCATCACCATCACCCACGAGGTCGGCCACAACTTCGGCTCGCCGGTACGATCGCCGCTCGCGCACCTCTCCATCTCCACGATGATGAGCAGCAGCTGCCTCTGATGCATTGCCCCCCACCGCCCCCCCCCACCCCCCTTCGTAATGGAAGAGCGAAATAACCCACGTGACAAAATAAACAAGCGTGCACGATACGTTCCCATCGCGTCGCGGCAGATGCTGTCGCGACCGCCCGCCTGCCTTTGTTGCCGCAAACCCTTTGCGAAGGGTGCGGAAAATGTTATATCCCGCTGACTCCTGCATCAATCCCTCCCTTGCCCTGCGAAACCACGGAGCTCGATTTCAGCTGCGGCCTTTTTCTTTGCACTTCGTTACAAAGAGTGGATATCCAAAACTAACCACTCCACGGTGTGACACACCGAGCTACAATTTCCTGTAATGGAGCAGGGTGGGAGGGGGGGGGGGCATGTGTAGAATTGAAGACGGCAGGTTATCCAGACAGGCATTCGAGTGCCACCCAGACTTTGGCGATCAGGCCGATGGCTGCGTAACAAAGTGAAGACCTAAAGCCACCTGGTGGTCGTGACGATGGTTCAGATGTCAGTCGCTGCTGATGAATGCCTTGGGTGGGAATCGAACTCGGGTTTTGTAGCGAAGGATGTATAACCACTGCGCCACTGCGGAATTAACAGCAATATATAAAAAAAATGTAACGTAGCAGATATTATATTCTTGGTTCTTTCGGTAAAGTCACGTAGAAGGGAAATAATCAAATAATATAAATATAAAACAAAAATTCTCACGACGTTTCGACTGCAACGCAAGCAATCATCATCAGGTGTGAAATCCACAGCAAGAAAATTTGAATTGAATCACACTTTTTTCAAATTTTCTTGCTGTGGATTTCACACCTGATGATGATTGTTTGTGTTGCAGTCGAAACGTCGTGAGAATTTTGTTTGTTTAATATTAATATTATTTTATTACTTCCCTTCTACGTGACTTTACCAAAAGAACCAAGAATATGAATCCCTGCAGTCACGAAAGCTTTAAATCAAAATTGTAGCAGATATTGTGCCTTGTTTCCCCCAAAAGAGACTGAACACTTTCGAATCAGATTCAGATTGTGGAACTTCCAAACTCAGTCGAAATTTGTCCTCCCGTGTCTCCCCACCTTCCCCCCCACCACCACCACATCGTGTATCGTCACCGACCGCAGCACGACTCGGAGGCTCGCTGCATGCCCGGCGAGTCCCAGGAACGTGCGCAGAGGACGGCCGGGAACTACTTGATGTATCCTTACGCCCAGTCGGGTGACAAGCCGAACAACATGCTGTTCTCTCCGTGCAGCATCGACAGCATCAGCAAAGTGCTCAAGGCCAAGCGCAACTTGTGTTTTATCGGTACGCAGCACGTACTCGTTGTTGTCACCGAACATAGCAGTGCGCTACAAGGTGGAAGTTGGCCTTTTTGATTGACTGCGTTGCCCTGGTGAGTCCGAATAAGGACGACACCAGTATAAGTTTGCCTTGTTGTCCCAACCGCTGTGTAAAATTGTAAACCCTTAGCCCCGAAAAACTCGCTGGATGAGAGGTGCTTCCCAGCAATTTTGGAGCTGGACCTAAAAAAACTAACAAACTATAACTATAAACTCAACTATTTTATATTTTACCAGGTAAGGCCCACTGGGTTCTTTTTTCAGAAGCGACCTAGCCACAAATGATAGCTCAACGAAGTGGCTTATAATGTGGAAATTTATAGCAGCCAAATACTCCAAGCGCACGTTTCTAAATGTGCAGGGAAACCCCAGAGAATCCGGAGAAAAATACGACCACGGCGAGAGAGAACATGCAAACAACACATATACATGAGTCAGGGGTGGCCACAATGTACAGCTCAACGAAGTAACTTATCACGTTGAAAATTTCTAGCAGCCAAATACTCGAATCCAGTTTTCTTCATTGCAAGGCCCGCGGATCACTGGTGGCCCCTGGTGGCCCCTGGTGGCCTTTAGTGCGGCCCCAGTCAATCCACAAACGCCCCGTGCAGGCGGTGTAGGCGGGCCCTCACATTGACGATGTCTTATCAGTGAAAGTGGCCCCCCCTTTGAAAGCTCACGACGAACACCGCTCTAAACGGACGTTTCTAAACATTCACGTTTGCGAGCTCACTGCCCCCCTCCCCCGCAACTGCCCCTGCCCCCCCCCGCAACTGCCCCCGCCCCCCCCCCGCAACTGCCCCCCCCCCACCGCCACAGAGTCGGACACGCCGGTGTGTGGGAACGGGCTGGTGGAGGAGGACGAGGAGTGCGATTGCGGCTTTGGGGAGGATTGCGCGGACTCGTGCTGCTTCCCCGCCAGCGCCCCCGCCGGGCAACGCTGCCGCCTGCGCCCCGACGTGGAGTGCAGGTGTGCTGCGGGGGGGGCTGCGGGGGGGGGGGAGCTGCGGGGGGGGGGGCTGCGGGGGGGGGGGAGCTGCGGGGGGGGGCTTGCGGGGGGGGGAGCTGCGGGGGGGGGCTGCAGGGGGGGGAGCTGCGGGTGGGGGAGCTTCGTGGGGGGGGGCTGCGGGGGGGGGGCTGCGGGGGGAGGGAGCTGCGGGGGGGGGGCTGCGGGGGGGGGGCTGCGGGGGGAGAGCTGCGGGGGGGGGGGCTGCGGGGGGGGGAGCTGCGGGGGGGGGGGGGGCTGCGGGGGGGGGGGAGAGGAGAGGGGCAACCTACCCTCCTCCAACCCCCCCCCCCCCGCAATCAAGACCGCTTGTCCCTGTGATGTATGAGGATACGGGACCCCCCCCCTCCCGGGGCATGGAGTTATGGGGACATGGGGGGAGGTGTGCATGGAGACATCAAGATGTGGGCACAAAGGGACACAGAAATATGGGGACGCATGGGGACGCTGACACGAGCAATTGGTGTAAGTGGCCACGTGACTCGAGCTTAGCTGGGACACGCCCGACCTATTGACAAGAGAGAGACGTTTCGACTACAGCAATGAGATTGATCGTCGTATTATCCACATTTATAAGTAGAAAAAAAGGCAATGCCGAGAAGTGGTCTCCCCGAAGCTTTAAATTCACGCTATTGTCCGTATAATTTTTGTGAACATTTTGAGCCTCCAGAGAGTAGGTGGAAGAATATGAATCCATTCATCCGTGTTTATCCATGGGCAAGAGTGGACTGGAATTGGTCTCCCAGAACTCCAAGCTGTACCCAGTTATCTGAGCCTCAAAGTGGGTCAAGGGAATCGGCACAAGTATCAGAAAAGTGACCAGTATCTGCTGTTATCTACAGATATGAGGAGTGACGTGAAAGTCCTGGTGAATTCATTCGATAAAAGATATCCGAGGAAGTGCATTTTTGCAACCACTGTAAGCGCCATCAATCACCGCATTTTGAATGAAAATAAAAGGACGGAATTTGAAGTTGAATGCAATGTGACGAGAATTTATCAAATCAGCAGCGCTGGTGAATCATAATGCCCCCTTGCAGGTCACATGACCTGGGTATGCATCAACCGAACAGCTGTCAATTGTTGTTGTTGTTGTGTCCTCTTCTAAGTGGGTTTCATGAGACGAGATAATTGCCCTTGGTAGGTGGAGCAGCTGGTCAGACTTGTTTGGGGGAATTTAACGATGCAGAAACAATTTCATGCATCCTCCTCCACCAGCCCATTTCACCCTCTTATTCACACAACAGCCAAGATGAGCATGCGTAGGACACACGGGCGAAATTTGCATGCGAGCGGCAAAGAAATAAAATTGGTAGAGTGGAAAAAAATGGCTGGAAAAGCCATCGAGGGGAGTGGCATGGGGTTTTTTTTTTTCTAAAAATTACGTGCAAATAGAAGTTGCCCATTTATGCTCCTGCCATCCATTCCCGCACCCCCGATCAGCACGCTTGGCTACGTACGGTGCGAAAGAAGTTCACCGTACCTACCATGTATGTCAAACAAACTTCCTTAGCACATACATGTATGTCTAACTTCCTTAGCACGTACATGTATGTGTGTATGCATGTTCAACTTCTTTCCCGCCGTAAGTAGTCAACAGTGCTAATTCGGAGGTGCGAGATTAAGGACAACAAACAATAAACAGACATCTCCGCATTTGCCTTTAACTCTTGACCTCTTGACCTTCGGGGCCCCCCTCTCACCCCTCCTGTGGCAGCCCCAGCGAGGGCCCGTGCTGCTCGCACGAGTGCAAGCTACACGCAGCGGGAGAGCTGTGCAGGCCCGAGGCCGAGTGCTCGAAGGCCGGGGTGTGCAGCGGCGACATGGTACGTGTGTAATAATACTCTTGGAGACGACTTGTGGAATCGGTCCTTTTATTTATTCCAGTTCACAAGTACTCCCCGCTGCTGGCAGGCAACGGGAAGTGGGCAGACAGACCACAAGAGACGCACCGCCACGTGGCACTCGGAGCCCCGCTCGCGCGTGGCCCCTCTCTTCCTTCGTTCTTCGTCTGACCACGTGTCGTTCATCTCTCCCCTTATTTAATGTCTGGGTCACGTGGTACGCTCCAGCCAATCCTTGGTAGCCTGCGCCGAATCTTCTAGATTTCCCATCAACTCCCGGGACCACGCCCCTGACTTGTCTTCCCATTGGCTGAGGCCAAAACCAGCAGAACCAATCACCCTAGCTGGCACCCCTCGATCACGCCAGGGCCATGCTCCCAGGCTCTCCCCCCATTGGCTGTAAAGCAGGACCGGCAGAGCCGATCACCACGTGAGCCGGACATAGGCTCTTATTACACGTGTGTGACACGGGGTGGGCGGTGTGGAGGTGGGGAGTGGTGATGTAGTCGCGGTTAGCGCTACGCTGCGCTACGAAGCCAGTGTCTCCGGGTTCGATTTCCCGCTGATGGCCAGCCGCCACCAGTGACGATTGTCTCAACCGGTCATGGGCCTCCCCTAGGTTCATACTCTTAGTTCTTTCGGTAAAGTCACGTAGCTGTGACACTTTCACCTGAAGACGGAAGCTTGTGTTGCCTCCGAAACGTCGTGATTTTTTTTTATTAATTTTAATTTCATTTTTTACCTACGTGACTTTACCGAAATAACTAAGAGTATGAATCCTTGCAGTCACGAAAGCTTCAAATCTAGAACTCTCCTAGGTCGACTCAGCCTAAAACGAGTACCTGGTGCGGTGTGTTAACATCGTCACTCGGGAAAAACGTGGGTGCTGGCCACCCACCCCCACGTGTACCTTGCCGGCTTTCATAGGTGCTCACTCGCAGCACTTGCCCCAACAGTCTGTTCGGGCTATACGGGGATCTTTGTCTTTTGGGGTAGAGGTGCAGCCCTGCAATGTTGATTTCTCACGCCACTGCTGGCGGAACGGCCTTCGCTGGGAGTGGCGGCGCAGCGGTCAGCGTGATGTGCTTTAAACCCGGCGGCCCGAGTTCGATTTCCCGCTCACGGTCAACATCGGTGAAAATCGCACCACCGATTTGCAAAGTTGGCTACGTACGGCACGAAAGAAGTCCAGCATACGTGCATATATATCTGATCGTGTCCTGGAGCTCCCCTAGGTTGACTCAGCCTCGGTGTGCAGCAAACATTGCCACTGGGGAGACAAAGGCGGTCGGCTGTGGTGCTGGCCACCCACCCCCTCGTGTGCCGTGCCAGCCTTCATAGGTGCTCGCTAACAGCACTTGCCCCAACAGTTTGTTAAGGCTGCACGCGGGCATCTTTGTTTTTGACTGGAGAGGTGCACGCTTGGAATGACGTGTATTCTGAGAGACTTAGAAAGTTGCACACGTATCGGGGAACATAGGCAGGTGAGAGACGTCACATCGACCGCTCAGCAAAGTAAGTGGATTGTGACAGGACGCGTTGCTAAAAGAGATGATGATGGTGACGACGACGAAATGTGTGACGTACACGATGAAACGATAAACGATGCGGACCGTTCTGTGTGCACGTGTGCTTCGCTTCTCCCCTTCCGTACACGCGAACAACGAACGAACGCACGCAGGTGATTTGCTTGGCGTCGGAGCCCAAGGATAACCACACGGTGTGCAACAGGGGGTCGCAGATCTGCATGCAGGGGGTGAGTAGCGTGAACCCAGGCCCAGCCCTGTGCTCGTGTCAAACCCACCCACGACGCAAGAGAAGGGGACGACCGGCTGCATCGGCGAGCGGTCGACTAGCCGGCCCGCGCCTTCGCGCACCTCCTCTCGGAGCGTGTCGCCGGCCGGGGGTCACGTCTTGCCGGGCAGACGGAGCGAGGGAAATGGCTCGTGTGCGTGCGTGTATGTACGTACGTGTGCACGTTGAACTTCTTTCAAGCGTGCTAATCGGAGTAGCTGGCCAGAATTGTTACGTCGCAAGGATCGTGAGCGACGGTCGCGGCTTGTGGAAGCCTTCATCCAGCAGTGGATTGACCCTGGGCTGAGGACGGCGACGATGATGATCACTTTCGTTTAGTGCTCGCGAGCAGTTCAAATTGGCTCGGCGCTGACAACCGGTGAGCCTGACCTCGCGGAGGGTTTCAAGGCTTTGCCGGGGTAAATCCATGGGTTGTTGACCCACGTCGTGCTGTGTTTAAGTGTGCCTGTCAAGTGTCTCCATGTGCTCCTACCCAGCCGGGTGGCTCAGCGGTAGAGTGGCTCGCAGCCGAATTGCTGCGAATTGAAATCATGGTTTGGGGTTGAGTCAGCCCCATCATCTCTGCGGGGGAGGGCGGGGGTGGTCGATAGATTTAGGACAACTTGATGGGGAAGTCGGCAGTGGGATTTCCTATGGAAAGACTCGTCCCTGACATAGCATTGTGGAATTTCCACCACCGGTTCAGGGCTGTAAACGGGAGATGACCTTCACCTCCATGGTGATGTGAGCGGCAAATTAACGTTGACTACCGAATTTTTTGCTGGATTGCACCGTACGCAGGGTGTAAGAGGTTCATTAAAAATAACAGGTCCTTCATCTTTGTTGAGAGGGTCATTGACAGAGGGCCAGTCAGCCGAAATGTCAAGATCTTCCTTTAAATCTTAGTTAACGGAAAAATAAAACCCTGTTAGGTTTTTCACCGTTGTAGCTGCGTAGCCCTGCGGTGCGATTTCGGATCGTGTGGCGTGCTGACCGGCACGATGTCTGACGTTCCGCTGCCAGTACGTGGAGTGAAAAATCCCGGAGAGGAGAACAGTGCAACCTTGCACATGTACGCAGCATTCGGCAGAGGCGTTGGAGAGAAGACGGGTCACCAATGAAGATGCTGAGTGGCACCTGTTAAAATTAATACACATTTTTTTATTTTACTTGGCAACAAAGCATAGCTCAACGAAGTGGCTCATCACGTGGACATTTCTAGCAGACAAACACTCTAAACGCATGTTTCTAAATGTGGAGGAGAAAACTAGAGGACCCAGAGAAAAATCCACGTGACTACAGGGAGAGAGACATGCAAACTCTAAATATACAGGCTTAAGGGTAGGGATCGAAGCCACCACCTCCTGCATACCAGGCGAGGTAGTTAACATCATGCCACCGTGTTGAAAAGGGTCCGCTCATATATCATCTTCCAGGGGCCATTCTCTGACATGGCGTTACTCTCTGCCGTGACTGGAGCAGTCCAGGAAGGATGTTTCCCTCGGTGCTGTGATAAAATTCTGATCGCAGCACGACTGCGATCAGACGCATCGGGAGAGATACCTTTGCTCCTATCCCACCGCTGTGTGTGTCTCATCCCAGCTGTGCTCAGGCTCCATCTGCGAGCTGTACGGGCTGGAGGAGTGCCTCTGCCCCGGCGAAAGTCCTGAGGTCCAGTGCCACATCTGCTGCTCCAACCCAGGTGAGATGCGACCGGAAGTCACCCAACAGTGGATATATCATAGCTGATTATGATATAAAACGCCAGACCTAAATGTCAGATTATTATTGTGTTGTGAGTGATATAACATACGTTTGTCTGCATGTTTATTGTGATATTATGCTTGTTTATACCCAGGGAAAGCCTTACCGAGCCTCATTGCTTTTACGCTTTTTTTTGTTTAATTATAATCCCAGAGCCTTTAACAATTTAAACAATGTTCAGAAGTATCTTATCTTCCCAGGCGCCGCAATAGACAACCTTTCCACCACGTGCCTCCGTTAATCTTGAGCCCTTCTCCTTGTTGCTCTGCTCAGCTGTGCACATCAAGCAGAAGTTAATCCGCATTAGGACCAGCGATGTGTGGGGGCGGAGGTGGGGATAATTATAATTGCCATGCAAATCAAAATTAATGCCAACTAGGAACGGCCGAGTTAATTGCGCGTTGAGAAAGATTGAAATTAATGGTAATGTATGGGAAATTATTAAATTATCTGATTACAGTTGGTATTGTGTTTCACGTCGCTCTCCAGCACCCGCGTTCGGTATTGTTACACATGTACCGTTATTTGTTAAAGAGGAGCAATGTCTGTGCTTGGTCACCCCGAGTCTGTTCATCAGCCATGGTCTATCCATCATTGCTGGATGAAGGCCTGCCCCAAGCCGTAGTCAACCCTCATCATACTCTTGGGTTCTTTCGGTAAAGTCACGCAGGTAGAAAAATAAAATAAAACAAAAAATAATATATCACGACGTTTCGATCGCAACACAAGCGGTCGTCCTCGGGCGGAAAAATATCATCCAGCAGTGGAACTGCTGAACCAGCGAGAGAGCTGTTACAACAAGAGGTTATATATGTGGCGATGGGCAAGCAAGCGGGGTCTGAGCTGGAAAGGAATTCCATCCGAGGACGCAAGCACGTCAGTTGTGTTAATGGGGGAGATTAGGGAGAGAGAGATTAGGGAGGGAGATTAGCATTAAATGAGCTTCCATCACCGCACAAGAGCACCGTCCCCGCATCATCATTAGTAGCGGCAATAGTAGCAACAGCAGCCATGATCTATCCACTGCTGGATGAAGGCCTCATCATCTGCGAGCACGGTCCCGTCGCTCCATGCAGGCAGTGGTCACCCTCCCCGCAGGCGCGTTTCCCTCCTTTGGCTGCCGTTCCGTCGCCAGCCTTGCCCATCGGCCGTCGTCCGTCCTATCCGTGCGCCCTGCCCAAACCCACCCGAAGGTTTCTTAAGAGCCAAAGCGATGCCTCTGATTTGCATCCTCTCCCTTGTCTCCCAGTGGCGTAACTCGGGCTATACGCGGTGGGATGTTCATCTCTGTCGCGCTGCGAGCGGCAGTGCAGCCGTTAGCCCGCTGCGTTCCCCAGGGTTCGATGCCCTCCCACGGCCACCAACAACGCTATAGATTTCCACTTAATGACAAGCCGCACCGCCGAGCTGTCATTTGTGGCCAGGTCGCTTTTGAAAAGGAAGATAATAGCTCAGTCGACTTTACCTAGTAAAAGAAAACTATTTACTCGTGATTTGTTTATCTTTCATATACTTTGCACTCCTATCGTGTTTTTTATTGTTTGTTGTTGTTTACCGGCCCTGCGCCTCCCCTAGGTCGACTCAGCCTCAAATGAGTACTGGGTGCGGTGCGTAAGCATCGCTACTGGGGACACAAAGTTAGCGTTGGCCACCCACCCCCTCGCGTGCCACAGTGCGCGCCTTCATAGGTGCTCGCTCGCAGCACTTGCCCCAACCGTCTGTTACAGACTATACGTGGTGGGGGGGCATCTTTGTCTTTGCTGTGTGTGGGGGGGTTGTGGGGTGTCACGCTGCGAGCAGGCGAGTCTTCCTCGTGTGCCGGCACGTCGGATGAGCGCTGGCGGCGCTACTTCAACGGGTCGCGCGTGGCGCTGCAGCCCGGCTCGCCGTGCGACGGCCTGCGCGGCTACTGCGACGCCATGCGACGCTGCCGACGCGTCGACGCAGAGGGCCCACTCGTGCGGCTCAAGAAGGCCTTCTTCGAGGGCAAGATCTACCTCAACGTGGTGCAGTGGGTGCAGGCGAGTAGCGGGTCGCGCATCGGAGGGTGGCGGGGGGGGGGTGAGAATATAATATGAAGAAATAAGAATTGATATTCTTGGTTCTTTCGGTAAAGTCACGTAGATAGAAAACAAATAAAACATAAAAAATATTATAATAAAATAAAAATTACAATTTTTTATAATAATAAATTTTTTAAAATAAAAGCAAAAAACCCACAATAAAAATAAAAAAATAGTCAAATAAAATTAAAAGTATATTTAAAATAATAAGACAAGGCCATAATGAAAGCAAAATTAAAATAAGAATTGGTTTTGCCATTTCTGCCAATAAAACAGGTGTTGAGATGTTCAAACAGCAAATAGAAACCGTTTGCAAGGAATCAAGAATATTACAAACATTACAAAAAATACCGGGTTAATTGTCATTTGCGGGTTATTCGCTGTGTCGATCCATTAACCAATCGATTGAGTAATCTCATTGGTTAGTATAGCGTCGTGTGACATGCCCCCTTTAGAGCGTGTTTGTTTGCATGTTCACCACAACAAGTACGTGTGGTTTATGCAGAATTGATGCCTTGGTGTTTGAACATCTTAGCACCTCTTCTTGGTTTTTTCGGTAATCTCCCCCATTAACACAGGTGAGCTCACCTGAAGACGGCTGCTTGCGTTGTAGCCGAAACGTCGTGAGAATTATTTTATTATGTTTTATTTTTATTATTTTATTACTTCCCTTCTACGTGACTTTACCGAAAAAAACCAAGAAGATGAATCCCTGCAGTCATGAAAGCTTTAAATCGAAAGCTTAGCACCTGCTTTATTGCCAGAAAGGGTAAGACCTATTCATATTTTTTCACACGCCCCCCTTTTCTTGATTGGCTAATATCTGCATGGTTCGGCGATTCCGTCGCAGTCCCGTTTTTATTGTTCTACAGCCCCACGGCGCCGGTGCCGTGGGGCTGTTTAGGTGACGGCTCGGAGCGGAAAGGACAGCCACAACCGGCGATGCCAACAGTTGGCCAAGCTCTGTGGCCCGATATTGAGATGTTTGGCCGACTCCATCAATGCGGCTCACGCAGAGGACAACGCTATAAATTTCCACGTAATGACAAGCCGCACCGCCGAGCTGTCATTTGTGGCCAGGTCGCTTTTGAAAAGGAAGATAATAGCTCAGTCGACTTTACCTAGTAAAAGAAAAATATGTATTCGTGATTTGTTTATCTTTCCTATACTTTGCACTCCTATCGTTTTTTTTATTGTTTGTAGTTGTAACTTTCTGACCCGTCCCGGCTGGACATCTTACGAAAAGAGCTTTGTAGCTGATCGGATTCCTCCAGTATAAATAAATGTTCCCATTATTATTAATGAGTGCTTATACAAGTGGCAGGATACCGGAGTAACCTGAGAAATCCCACGGGTGCGAGGAGGATGTTAATACTCAATCCCTGTACAGATGGAATACAGAGGGCAATGAATCCACTTGCCCTACTGCCGTAACCCTGGCAGGTCAGCAGATGGCGACACTGGCAGCTTAGAGCAGTGGTTCTTAACCTGGGGTGCACGCAACCTCCCGTGGGGGCGCGAGATGCCCTTTCTGGAGGTGCGAAACATGACCAGATTTTTGTCGAAGGTAAATCATCTAAACACAAATTAATCACCGGCATGTAAATAGAACAACTTTGTTTCATCAAACCTTTGCATTTGTTAACATTGTACATTTTGTAACGATTGACAACCAAAGGGGTGCAAGGCTGCAGCAACGGATGAGAACCACTGGCTTAGAGGGCTTGTGAGTTTCACACATTTGCGTGGTCCGCCAACCCTCACTGCCTCCACAGCGCTGGATTAGAGGCGCACGCAGCCACCGAGTGCCCAGCCTTGCCACCTTTCCCACTGCGGACCAAACCCGGACACGTTCCTCAGTCAGCCGAGGTCTGTTATCAAAACGGTGCAGTGTTCTGTTTATAAAGTCGAACACAGCAATACCTGGTGTCAAATCTCGGTACAAATCAATTCCTGCCATCCGAACACAGATGCTGATTCCCAGGTGGCAACCCTCGCCAGGTATGAATGCCGCGTATAACATGAACAAGCGGTGTGACCCGATAAAGCGAGTGTTATTGATCGGGATTCATCCGAATGCGTGGTAAATAGGAAAATGCGCAGCCCTGCAAATTGCTTGCTCACTCCACTGATGCACGTGTGTGTTCCGTTATTTTTATGTCCGTGTGTGCACGTGCTACATGTGAGTGCGTGCATGTGTGGGGAGAGTGTATGTATGTTGAACCTCTTTCGCAACGTACATAGCCAACCGTGCTAATCGGAGGGACGGTGTGAAGTGTGTATCGCAACTGCTAGAGCTGCTTTACGGACCCAACCGGCCCGAGTTTGATTCCCACACACGGCCACCAACACCAGTGACGATTATCTGAATGGGTCGGTCCTACGCCTCCCCTAGGTCGACTCAGGCCTCAAATTAGTACCCCGGTGTGGTGTGTAAACATCGCCACTGGGGAGACAAAGCAGCCGGGCATGGTGCTGACCACCCGCCCGCTCTTGTGCCGTGCCGGCCTTCATAGGGTACTAGCTCGCTAACAGCACTTGACTCAGGAGTCCGGTAAGGCTTATATGGTGGCACATTGTCTTGTATATGCGTCAAAGCTATTGGTATATGCACGCGTACGTTTGCCGCGGCAGAAGTACTGGTGGGGTGCGGCTCTCATCGGCGTGGGCGTCGTCGTCGCCATGATCCTCTTCATCGTCGTGTGCAGCGCCCACGTGCCCAGCAGCAACCCCAACTTCACCCCTCCGCGCTTCTTCTCAGGTGACGCCGCTCACGAGGCCCCCGCACCAACGCCGCGACAACTCTGGATGACGAAGCTAAGCCTAATTGTCATAACTGCACACATTAACATAATCGCAAGCATCTGCATAAATTACTACGAGTATCTCCGTGATGATCATATAATTACACACATTAGCATAATTTATGCGATTTACGAATTTTTTTAATTTTTATTTTTTTTTATTATTTTTAGCAAAATTTCATAATCCGACATATACAACATTCCCTCTCTCTCGACTCGCGGCCCTAGGCTGTGTTCACGCAAGGTCGCCTAGGCCTCGTCACCAATGTGTGTCGCAATGCCACAAAAATTTCAAAAGGCTCAACGTGGTGAGCTGGTAGCACCATCCTCCCTCTTTTGCCCTCCCTTAGCTCCACCTACTTTTACATAGTCACGCCCACTCACTCGCTAGGCTCCTCGACCCCACCTACTTTTACATAGCCACGACCACTCACTCACTAGCCCCCCCCCCCCCACCACTACACAGGCCCCGCCTACACCAGAGGTCGCAATCGGGTACCCGATACCCGTACCCTACCCGATACCCGGCTACCCGTACCCGGCCGGGTACAGGTACGGGTACGGGTACCCGTTTGCGACCCTGGTGCGGCCGGGTATGGGTACGGGTAGACCGTGAGTCATTGGTGAGTAACTGTTTGTCACTCATTTCCCAACGTCTTGTCTCTTCTCACAATTCAAGTTCCTAGAATCAACCCACCCACGCCTGCAACATGGCTTCATCCCAGAGGTCGTAATCAGGTACCCAATAAATGTACCCAACCCGTACCTGACCGGGTACGGGGAGGGTACGGGTACGGCCGGTTACGGGTACGGGTACCCATTTGCGACCCTGGTACGGCCGGGTACGGGTACGGGTAAGGAATCCAAACCCGTTTGCGACCTCTGGCCTACGCCTCTGTCAACCACGCCCACTACTCAATGTGCCCCGCCCTTCCATCACTGGTCGAGGGGAGGTCAGAAAATAAAAATAAATCGTGAAAATGAATCCTGATTTCCTGCGACGCAGGCAAAACCGGGACGTTTACTGGCTCTACTAGCATTAACAACATAATTGCGTACACTGTCCTCACACTGGACACTAACACGATAATGCCAAATATAATGCTCACACTGACACGAACGCGGTAATGCAGAACACCGTACTAACACTGACACTCACACACCGTGATTCCGAACAAAGCCCTGATACTGATTCTCACCGTAACCTTTTGTACGATCTTATTTGTAACCAAGAATTCCAACGCCACCTCACGTTATCAACGCATTGCACGCGGACACTCTTGTTGCAAACGACATGTAAACGCTCTGTGAACTAACTCTGTCTGTAACCCTAACGCGTGTACGACACTTACTCTGACTCTAGGCACGAACCAGACCTTAGCACTAACACCATAATCCAAAGCGCGGCTCTAATCATAATAAAATGTCAACCTTGACACGAACCCAAGTTCACCGTTGTGTGAGAATCATTCATTCCTGACCTTGAACCACTGGGAGGCATAAAAAAAGCCAATTTCTGCCGACGCTAGCCACTTAATTTTTCAAATTTGTACTCTCTTGAAAATATCTATTTTCTTTTGGGCGCCCTTTCATTATTTTTAAACCATTTAAATTATGGAGCGGCTTTGTTGTTGTTATCATTGTGTTATTTTGGGTTGGTGGGGGGGGGAGATGGAGGATGTGTTTGAAGACAGTGATTTGTTTGCAAACAAGTGTTCACCCGTTGAGTCTGTTCCGCGTCAATAGGTGCTCGTTGTTGAATGTAGGCCACCGCGGGTGATTGCTCGCACAGAGTGGGGGGGGGTGGAGGATGGAGTTTATCGAGAGGCATGCTGCAGTAAATAACAAACAAAAATACCAGTGAGAATTCAATGGCAACCATTCCACGTTCTGCCAAAACAAATCAGACGCCTCTTGTTAGGATATTGAGTGGGGGGGGGGGGGGGCGTTGAGGGGGTTAGTAGCGCAGTCAGCTATCTGCTGTGCCACCGCTACGACAACACGCTGACCACACGGCTTCCCACCGTGTCGCCACAGCGACCCCGAATAGGCGCTCGCTAACAGCACTCGCAACAAACTTCACTAATCGATTCCTCCACTCCATGTCGAAGACTCGGTGCTACCAGACCCTGACCGTTTCGTCTCATCCACCACACCGTGTTCAACTGCCACACTGCAGGTCACATGAACACGCTCACCCACTCACTCACTCGCACAGTCACCCACTCATTCACTCACTCACAAAGATTCCCCCGTGTAGCCTTAACAGATTGTTGGGGCAAGTTCTGTTAGCGAGCGCCAATGAACGCCGGCACGGCACGTGATCGGGTGGGTGGACAACACCACGTGATGTTTACACACCTCACCGGGTACTGATTTGAGGTTGAGTTGGCCGAGGGGAGGACCAGGACTGGTTCAGATAATTGTCACCGGTGTTGGCCGGGAATTGAACTCGGGTCGCCGGGTTTGTAATGCAGCGCGCTAACCACTACACCACCGCACTCCTCACTCACTCACACTCACTCACTCATGCGCCACACTGCAGGTCACAAACTCTTCTCTTTCTGCTTCTTCCCTCGCACTGCTCAACTTTGGAATTCCCTCCCATCGTCTCTTATTCCACAAGCCCTTCACAATAACCTCGTGCAATTGAAGAAAAGTTTTAGCCATTACCTTTCACGATTTTGATCGTGCCGTACGTTAACGTTATGGGTTCTTTGATATCTGTTCTCCACCACCGTGTTAAAAAAACCCAAACCAGTCGGTGTAGGTTCAACGTGGACCTATGCCGTGTACATATGTATAGTGAACTTCTTTCGCACTGTACGTAGCCAACTGTGCTAATCGAAGGTGCGGGGGAAGGACAACAAACTAAACGCAAAATGGCAGTTCTAAAAAATGAGTTTGTCAATCACGATGATAAAAGTGCGTAGCTCCAGTTGCTTTCTAATATCGGTAGGAAGAGCGCTCCAGACGGCCGCAGAAGCGCATCTGAAAGCGCGCGACGCGGTGACCGCCTTTGTTCGATGGTCAGCCAAAAGCCGCCGCTGCTGCGAAGACGACCGGAGTGTCGCGTGATGATGGTTCATGCCCCTTGAGATCATCGAGGTACTGTGGTTCATTTGTGGAAAACACTTTGTTCGCAACGATTGCGACCGTGTAATGTTTTCGTTCGGCAACCGGATGCCAATGCGGACAGACACGGTCACGTCTTGCCGTACGGACATGGTGGTTGGACGCCGTTTGTTGTCTCTGTGACCTTGCAGCCTCGCGAGTTTCCCGTCCGACCCGCGGGAGGGACGTGCGTGCGAGGCAGCCCAGGCAGTCCATCGAGATGCAGTAGCGACCGCGGCCGTCGTCCGAAGACCCCGAAGGTGTCACGTTTCACGCCTGGGGCAAGGGTCGTCGTTGTGCACCACGAGGCAGTGGCTAACCGACTGTGGAGTTGGGGGTGGAGGGTGCTGGGGTGGCATACGAGCTGTGGGGAGACGGGGGTCAGGCTGGGGTGGTGGTTGTACCGCGTGTTTCTCACGGAGAGCATCCTTGCTCAACATTTGGCAGTTCGCCAGCGAGCCTGACACAATCAAAACCGGTCCGGAGTTTGCTTGTATTGAACCAATTTTGCTGAAATTATGCACTCCTAGGAGGCCGTGTGGCTGGCGTGATGTGTATTTATTTTGTGGAGGGATGGTTGCGGGTCTTGTTTGCTCCCCTCCCCTTTACCCCCACCAGATCCCCCCAACCCCCCCTCCTCTTTTAGGCACCCGCCCAACCCCACTGTGGCACCACCTATGGCTCACATACCCTGGGTGACCATTGGAATTTATATAGCTTGGTTCTCACACTGCCTATGGACAATAGCGCGAGGCATTGAAATTCTCAAAGTGTGCGCAAGTCGCTCCGTGGGTTTGCCTCACGGTCAGCAACTTTTCGGCCCATCGAAGGTACGGTTTTGTTTGGGACTGATCGTAGTTGGCAAAACGTGGAGCGATGCTCCATCGTAAATTATGGGAGCCAACGGTCAAACACGTCGCACATGTGGAGCTGGGTTCGCGGGCGCCACGGTGGAGAGATGTTAACCAGCTCGCCTGGTCTACAGGAGGTCGTGAGTTTAATACCAACCCTGACACCTGCTGTACATTTAGAATTTGCATGGTCTCTCTCCCCGCGGTCGCGTGGATTTTTCTCCGGGTCCTCTGGGTTATTCCTCTACTCGATTTGAAGCTTTCGTGACTGCAAGGATTCATACTCTTAGGTTTTTTCGGTAAAGTCACGTAGGTAAAAAATCAAATTAAAAGTTAATAAAAGTAATAATGGAAATAAAATAAAATAATAAATCACGACGTTTCGGAGGCAACACAAGTCTCCGTCATCAGGTGGGACCGTCACAGCTAAAATTACTGCATCAGTAGTAGCTGTGACGGTCCCACCTGATGACGGAGACTTGTGTTGCCTCCGAAACGTCGTGATTTTTTATTTTATTTTATTTCCATTATTAATTTTATTAATTTTTTATTTTACTTTTTACCTACGTGACTTTACCGAAAAAACCTAAGAGTATTATTCCTCTACATTTAGAAAGATGCGTTTAGAGTAACTGGCTGCTAATAAGAATTCCACGTCATAAGTCACTTTGTTGAGCTATCATTTGTGGCGAGGTTGCTTCTGAAAAAAAGCTTCATAGATAGCTCAGTGGTGAAATATAAAAAGAGTTTATAGTTTAAATAGTTTAGTTTATCTGGTTACTTTCGTAATCGATTACTCTATTGATTATTTGTTCCATTTCCCCACTAATCGGATGACACGGATGACAAGCTAATATAATCTAGATTTGAAGTTTTCGTGACTGCAGGGATCCATACTCCTTGGTTCTTTCGGTAAAGTCACGTGGGTAGAAAATAGAATAAATTCAATCACGAGGTTTTGATTGCAACACAAGCAATCATCATCAGGTGGGAAAACCACAGCAAGAACATTTTTTGCTGAAGTGGGAGAGAAATGCCGTGGTAAGAGATTATATAGGTAAGAGAGGGGGGAGGGGCAAGGAAGGGGGGTAGGGGTGGGGGTGTGGGGTTGCTGTGGTTTTCCCACCTGATGGTGATTGCTTGTGTTGCAATCGAAACGTCGTGATTTTATTTATTTTATTTTATACCTACGTGACTTTTACCGAAAGAACCGAAGAGTAAGCTAATATAATGTCAAGATAAAAATGTTTTTGTTAACTGGTATTGGGAATGCTTAAACATGACTGGCAAATTACTTAATTTGGATTACAAATGTAGCAAAATCGCAAGCAAAACAAGTATAACCCGTAAAAACAAAGTTTTTCACTATAAATCCTTTATATGCGTGGCGGCTAGAGTCCTCTCGTCCTCTGGCTTGAGATGGCTGCCACATATGGGTCAGATGATTGCATGGCAGCATTAAGCAATTGGTAATTAAATATAATATTTTTGTCCTAAAAAGTGTAAAATTTTGGAAAATATTTTTTTTCACGAACATTAATTGTCACGCACAACGAGTCTGTGTGCAAAATGTCAGCTCGATTGGATCACGGGCAGTGGGTTAAAAAACGACCGAAAGATTTGCACGGTCCTAAGCAAGCAAGCAAGTGAACGTAATATAAAGGATTTAAAAACGCTCTCTTTGTATATCGCTGAAGTTAGTCGTGGCTGCCACTGGGGCTGGGGGGGAAGGAAGAGGATGCCTTATTTACCGACAGATGAGACATCTGACCTTGAGGAGTTGGGAATTTCTGTGCTCAAGAGATAATCGCGTGCAATCTGGCAACGTGTGTGTACGTGCGTGCATGGGGGGAGCGGCAGTGTAGTGGTTAGCACCACTGCGACCCGAGTTCGATTCTCGCTCACGGCCAACACACCGGTGACGATTATCTGAACAGCTCCTGGGCCCCCCCTAGGTCAACTCAGCCTCAAATTAGTACCTGGTGCGGTGTGTAAACATCACCACTGGAGAGACAAAGGTGGCCGGGCACGGTGCTGGCCACCCAGCCCCTCGTGTGCCGTGCCGGCCTTCATAGGTGCTCGCTAACAGCACTTGCCCCGACAGTTTGGTAAAAGCTATCCGAGGGCGACTTTGTCTTTGATGCCCCATGTATGCATGTCACCACTTTTTTTTAAAAGAAGTTGGGACTCCGCTTGGAAAGTAAATAAAACCAATCTCTACAGCCGTGCTTCATTTTTCAGTCCGGGAAAAAAAAAACATTTTCAAACGACGGCACTCGGCACACGAAAAAAAATGTTTATCGCTTCCTCTGCGGAGGAGGATTTGCTCCACACCGTGGGGGTCGCAGACGTGGTTGCACGGGTCACTTTGCAGCAGTCTGATATTAATGGGTTGGTGAGGGGGGTGAGGGCAGTGGGGGGGGGGAGCGGGTGGGAGGGGGGTAATGGGGAAATCGGAAAACAACATGGGAGAAGCAGTGAACTCTGGCTGTGTGGATTCACTCCTGGATTTAAGCGGGTTGTTTCGTCACACACACCCAAACACGTATGGACATTTGGGATGAAATGCATCTCTTCAGGAAGCCAGAGCAGCGCTTGAGAGCCTGGGTTCGAATCCGGGTTTCAGCCGCTGCCTGTGATTAAATCGGGTTCTCAAGCGCAATGCGTTGATGGTGTCAGCCCGGCAGAGGTCGCAACCGGGTACCCGATACCCGTACTCTACCCGATACCCGGCTACCCGTACGGGTACCCGTTTGCGACCCTGGTGCGGCCGGGTACGGGTAGACCGTGAGTCACTGGTGAGTAACTGTTTGTCACTCATTTCCCAACGTCTTGTCTCTTCTCACAATTCAAGTTCCCAACCCACCCGCGCCTGCAACATGGCTTCATCCCAGAGGTCGCAATCAGGTACCCGATACCCGTACCCTATCCGTACCCAGCCGGGTACGGGTAGGGTACAGGTACGGCCGGGTACAGGTACGGGTACCCGTTTGCGACCCTGGTGCGGTCGGGTACGGGTACGGGTAAGGAATTAAACCCCGTTTGCGACCTCTGCAGCCCATTCACCAAATGGGGTTGGCCAAAAACTCGCATTCAATTTGCGTCTCCACTCTCAATTTGTCAAAATTCCAGTTCTGAGGATTAACAAAAATATCGGTTTGGCCGACATGCGGTGAACGTGGCTCTCATGTGGCAGAGCGGGTGGGGAAGTGTTGTCGTCTCCTACTGTGAGAGGCAAACTTTAATTGATCTGCGATGCATCTGCTTCTGCGAGCCAACAACAACGTCTAACATGAAACGTTTCTCCGCTCTGAAATGAAATTCGAACGGATACTTTGTCTTTTGACGCGATGCCAATGCACAATCAGGTTAAATTGCAACATTTTCAAAAAAAATATTCGGAACAGAAGCAAAAGTATCAAAGCAGCAGCACCTGGGTCTGAGATATTAACCAATGCGTCGAATTGTAATGTTGTTATCGCTGATTAATTACTTTCAAGGACAAACTCACCATTCGGAAAGCATGACAGAATCACTGCATTTGTATGATTTTCTTATGTTTTTTTATTCGTTTCTCTTAGTGAGAGCTGTTACACGGAGCCTCCTTCCTTGGACAAATCCCTTCTGGAGACATTTCCTGTGGCTACGGCTACCCAGTGCGACGCGCTCGCCTGAATCTGGATCAAGTAAAAAAAATAACCACTCTCGAAAGGAACTGTTGGATTAAATTGATTGGCTCGTTTATTTATTTGATGACGTACTTTAGAGTAGAACTTCTTTGGTTTTTTCGGTAAAGTCACGTGATGAGGAATTATATAGTCGCGACTATATAATTCCTCGTCACAGCCATCTCTGAGACACACTTAAGCGGTCGTGCTTTCGCTACGTTGTCCCCACCTGAAGAAGGACGCTTGTGTTGCGCTCGAAACGTCGTCATTTAATTTAGTTGTTTTTTCATTTATTTTATTTTTTACCTACGTGACTTTACCGAAAAAAACAAAGAGTATGAATCCTTGCAGTCAAGAAAACTTCAAATCTAGAATTAGAACTGCTGCTGCTGCTATATTAACGCAAGCACGGATTGTCTGGGTTGTTCAAGGAAGGGATGTGCTTCAGAAGCGCGTTTGTTATCTGGTAGATGAACCGGCGTTGTGTCGGTGTGTGGCAGAAACGTGGGAGTCTTGAGAGAGGAGGACGTGAGAAGTTTAGAAAGTTTGGAGATGTGTGTTTTGGTGTCAAATGGGGGATCTTATTTTTATAATGAGTTCAGCGGAGAGAAAGAGAAATGGGGAAGTACTCCAGCAGGTTCAGGAGGTGATGAGTCGCCTTAGAACAATACAGAAAAAAAGCCACGGCTGAAAATTGGGCACAGGCTTAGAAGTGGGAGCTTGGTGAAGGAAGATCTGTGGGATGTCGGCAAAGAGACCACAAAGAGGCAGGAACAGAAAGATGCTGCTTTGCCAACTTGAAGGACAGCGAGGCTGTTCAGTGAATTGAGGCAGGGAGAAAGCTCAAGGTCGGACAGCTCTGAGGAAGTTTGAGACGAGGCTCTGCCATCGGGCAGAGGACTAAAGAGAGGGGATAAAAATAAAAGAATTGTAAATACATCTATAGTTAAAAATAATAAAACAAGTACAATTTCTTGCTGTGGTTTTCACACCTGATGATGATTGCTTGTGTTGCAATCGAAACGTCGGGAGAATTTTATTGTTTTATATTTGTACTAGCTGTACTACCCGGCTTCGCCCGGGACTTGTATCTACCACGGCCGGCCGCCTTTGTCTCCCCAGTGGCGATGTTAATACGCTACAGCAGTTACTCGTTTGAGGCAGAGTCGACCTAGGGGAGGTTCAAATAATCGTCACCGGTGGTGGCCGTGAGCGGGAATCGAACTGGGTTTGCCGTGTTGGTAGCGCAGCGTAGCGTTAAGCACTACACCCACCGCTCCTCACACACCACACACGCACACACACAGACACACACACAGACACACACACACAGACACAGGCAGCACGCTAAGCACTACACTACCGTTCCCCCTACACAACACACGCGCGCGCGTCCATAGGTACACATACACGCGCTTGCTGCAGACACACACGACTTTCAGGGTGCGTACGGCAGTAAACGACTGAAATAATAAAGCGGCAATGCTGTGTAAGGAACGCCTTAGACCCGCATTACACATTTGTGTAATGCGAGCGTAAACACACAAACACACACGAACACATACACAATACACACACACATACATGCAGACACACAGACAGACACATAACACACATACATACACACACATACAAACACAGAAACACATACACACACATACATAGACACACACATACACATCCACAGACGTACATACACACATACATACAGGCACGCAGACATACACATAAACACATACAAAAAAACCCACATACATACACACACA